TGGGCAGGGACATGGAGAAGGCCCCACGGGAGAGACAGAGCCCACTCAGCATGGCCTCTGCTCCCAAGGCCCATCGAGTTTGTCCCACCACACCCCAGGCCTCAGGCGCCGCTCCAAGGCAGAACTGCCCTACCTCAGCCCACTCAGGCCCTTACACTATCCTTCTTGGCTTGCCCTTAGCCTTGAGCTTTTACCATAAGCTGCCTCCTTGCTCTGTTCCGTTGCCTCTCGAAGCTTTCGCTCTTCCACTTGGCTGTTGAGGGCTTTGACATCCACCTGATCCCAAAGAAATGAGCTAAATCAGGGTAGGGGACCAACAGTGGGCCTTGAATGCTCTAACACAAACTGCTCAGAATTTACCCTCTTCAGAATCCTCCTATAGATCCTCAGTACCTACTGGATAAGGGTCTACCATCTGAACATGGTTTGTAAGCCCCTCACTGGTCTAGCCTCTGCCTCCTTCTCCATCCTTATCTCAGTACCTCCTTCCTCTGCCCCACCCTCAGAGCTCTGTGCTTACGGTTCCCTGTGATATCTGAGGTTGTTTGGAACAAAGAGCCTTTGCTCCAGCTGCTCCCTCCCCTTGGAACTCTCTTTCTTCCTCTCTTTACCCAAACTCCTGTTCATCCTTCAAGACCAGCTCAGGCCTCACCTTCCTGATTCCTTAGGCAGGTGCTACTCCCACAGAATCTAGGACCTACTGTCCACATTATATTGGAGTTTGCCTCTGTCGATGATCTCCTCCACCAGACTGTGAGCCCATTAAGGGAAGAGACTGGGCCTTAGTCAGCTTTGTACCCTACTGCCCAACCTAGTTCTTGGCCCGGACCAGACCCTGAGGAAATACTTGCCAACCGGATCTCAATCACACCACACATCTCTCAGCCAACTACTTACTTGGGTCAGGCACTGAGCCACCACCATATGTTAATATTCATTTCACACTTCATTTAGCTTCATTTTACTGAGAAGGAGCCTGGTGCTCAGAGAAGATAGGTGACTCATTCAAAGCCACACATCTAGTAAACAGCAGACCTGGCCCTTGAGCATAGGTATGAGGTCTTTTCCAGAATACCATGCTGCATTCTGCGCCCCCCCCCCCCATATCCACCTACCCAGCAATCTATTTTTTTCTTAAACTATCAATATTTTCTGTTTATTTTTTATTGTAATTCCTTTAAAACATTTCAAGAGAGTGTAAAAGGGAATACAGTTTAGTGAAGAGTAAGTCCCTCCCATCTCTGTCACTCGGCCTGGTTAACAGTTTCTTATGTAGCCTTCCGGACAGCATTTAGGCATACAAAATACCAAATATTCTTCAGACTTCTTTTGGCTCCATGTTACCTGTCTCTTGAGAACCAGGCCACTCAGCCCAGAGCTGACTGGAGGAGAGTCACTGTCACTGGCTCCTCTTCCCCCAGTCTCTTCCCCTGCACCCCCAGCCCGCTTCCTTCCCTCACCCGGGAGTGGATGCCTTCTCTCTCTCTCCTTCCTTTCCAGCTGGAGGGCCTGCTTAAATCAATGAGGGCCGTAACAGACACTGCTACATTCCTCTGTGGGTGCAGGAGTGAGGTGACCCCTGGTCCCAAGAAAGTCCCCATTGCCTACTCACCCCCATGATTCGGGTCTGCACATTGAAGAATCGGCTCTGTCGCTCTTTTTCTCGATTTCTTCTAGCCTCGATGGCTGCCACCTCCTTGGGATCTGCTGACAGGTCTACCTTATACATCTGGAGCAAGTGTGGGGTGGAATGGCCAATCAGTGCTGACCACCATCCTTGACTACACCCCCACCCCTCTTCCTTTCTTCCTACAGCACCAATAACACCAGTTATTGATTCCTACTGATTTTACCTCCTGATATATTTCATACCTGTGCCCTACATCTATGCTGTCACCACCCTAATTCAGGCCTCACAATCAGGTGCCAGACAGTATCCTCAGGAGCCTCAGTGGCCTCCCTCGCTCCAGTGTTACCCTCTCTACTCTTTTCTCTGCACTAGCTACCAGAGTGATCTTTCTGAAAGCAAATCTGACCATGGTACACCTCAGCTTAAAAGCTTTAAAAGCAACAGGGCACCTGGCTGGCTCAGTCAGTGGAGCATGCGACTCTTGATCGCAGGGTTGTACGTTCAAGCTCCACGTTGGATGTAGAGATCCCTTAAAAATAAAAAATCTTAAAAAAAAAAAACACCTTTAAAAGCAGCATTAGGGGTACCTGGGTGACTCAGTTTGTTAACCTCAGGTCATGATCCCGCCAGCGTCGGGCTCCCTGCTCAGCGGGGAGTCTGCTTCTCCCTCTCCCTCTGCCCCCCAGCCCCGGTCATGCTCTCTCTCTCAAATAAATAAATAAAATCTTTAAAAAATAAATAAAAGCTTTAAAGCAAATGGCTCCCCAGTGTTTACAAGATAAAGTCTAACCCCCTTTGCCAGATTTATAAAAGTCTTCATGATCTGACCCTTGCTCATCTTTCCAAGTCTCATGCTCATTTACAACTCTCCTCCCTTCATGTTATGCTCTATTCAGTTTTCCCCATTTCAGTAAATGGCACCACTATTTCCCTTTTTATTTGTTACTTATTCTCTAGTCACGTGAAAGGCTAGAGGGCTTACATTCGCCTGTGTTCTTTCATATTTTGGGAAGCCCACTTTTGGCAACTGTGGCCAAAACCACAGCCAAAAACACTTGTGCAAACATAAATCTGATCATGTCTCTCACCTGCTTAAAATCCTCCACTGGCTTCCCACTGCACTTAGAATCAGATCCAAACTCCTTACCATGGGTTTCAAGATCCGGCTCCCGCACACCTTTCCAATTCATCCCACATCACAGTCTCCCTCACTTACAGTCCTCCAGGCACACTCGCCTCCTCTCAAGTCCTTCAACACAACTATTCCCATCTCAGGGCCTTTGTACGTGGCGTTTCTTTGTTCAGAATACCATTCCTCAACTCCTCCTATAGCTATTTCCAATCCTTTATTTATTTATCCTTTTTTAAAGTTTAAATTCAATTAACATATAATGTATTATTGGTTTCAGAGGTAGAGCTCAGTGATTCGTCAGTCATATATAACACCCAGTGCTCATTACATCAGGTGCCCTCGTTAATGTCCATCACCCAGTTACCCTATCCCCCCAACCCCCTGATCCTTTTTTTAAAAAACCATTTTGTGACTGAAATATCTGATGTATACAGCAGAATATATATAACCCACATGCAAGTGAAGAAGCATGATAAAAGAGACCCATGAACCAACTCCCCAACTTAAGAAATAGAACTTGATCAATATTATTAAAGTGTCTTACATCTCTTCTCCCTCATCCTTACCCTAAGAGATAACCACTGTGCAAATGTGAACAGAGGCATTAATATACTGTGTATGAACTAAGGGTTGCTGGAGGGGAGGGAGATAAGAGGATGGGTAAAAATGTCTAGAATTTTGCCTTTCTCATTTAAGTTTTTAATCCATTTGGAATTGCACTTTATATACAGTGTGAGAGGTAGGGATCCAATTTGATTTTTTTCCAAGTTCCATCTCATCTTTTTAAATGGAACACTTGTTCCTGTCAATTATATGAGATTGCTGTCCTTTGGTCATTTTGTCCCCCTAGCCTGATTGTGACTGTTTTTCCCAGTTGAATTCATTTGTGGTTCCTCTACTAGATTCCATCAACCAAGCTTTCTCACTTTCCTGGACTTGTAATAAGACTTTTAGACTCTTCCCAGCCTCCGGATGTCATTTTAAAAGTGGTTTCAGGAATGGTTATGGCAACCACCAGACCCTTTCCATGTCTAAGTCTAAGCACTAACCCCAGCCAACTCATTCCATTTGTCACCACAATGTAAGGTCACTGAAGGGGAAGATTTGGCAGATATTTTAAGCTTCTTGGATTGCTAAGGCCATGACCTTGTAATGAGTAGATGGTATAAGGTGATAGGGGGATGAAAGTATGAAGGAGAAGGATAGAAAATTCGGGGAACAGAGAGGGCAGAGTGGGGTGGGGGAGGCAGAAAAGGAAAGGGGAAGGAGGGCAACAGGGTAGTAGACAGGAATGGAGGACCGACAGCAAGAGAAGGGGAAGGAGGAAAGCAAGGGAGGGGGCCAGAGGGGGATGGAGAGGAGGAAATGGGGTGGGGATGAAGCACGAGGAGAGATAGATAAAATGGGGAGAAAGGAAGGAGAACAGAGGTGGAGAGCAGTGGCTTAGGGACCCTGACTCCCGGAGGTTCACACAAAATACCTTTCTTAGCAAAGAGTGTCAATTTTGAAGCTCCCAGGTTGGGTCTAGGTTCAAGTGGCCAACAAGTGGCTCAGGTCCAAGACTATTCTTAAACTACAGCAACAGTCTCTGGACTCTGCTTGGAGAAAGAGGAGGGAGGCAGGGGATAGAGGCAGTACCTCTGGCCATAGCTTTCCCTAGCTTGTGACCCTGTCGCTCCAGAGTACCCTCATCTCCCTTCAAACTCCATCCCCCTTTTAACCCCAGCCCCCCCTCCCACCCCACCCCATCCCTACCCCCATTCCACTGCACTTCCAACCCTACTTCACCCTCAGCTTGGTCTGAGCTCCCCTAACACCAAATCCTCCGGCCGGCCCCTCCTTCCCGTCCAGCCCTCACTCCCTGGGGTCCTTCCAATCCCCGACCCTGTTCTTGTTTGAGCCTTCCAGCAGGCTAGGCTAAAGCCGCAGCCAAGCTCCCACCTTTCTCTTGCCCTGGAGGGCATAGCCCTGCTGTGACTTGTTTCAGCAAGCGTGGACTCGCGTCCCGCTTGCTTCCTCAGATCCCAAAAGCTGCTGCGCTCTTCTACGATTCAGTGGGCAGGGTCAGCGGTTTGCGTTGCCACGCAACAAGAAAGGGGGGCGGGACCCAAACTCCTGTTTTAAGCTCGCGCCCAGGCAACGGATTAACAAAACTTCCACGACACGCCCCTGGTTCCGCTCTCACCGGAAGCCAGAAATCCCGTTAGGCCTGGACTTATTCTCGCGAGGTTTGTCGTACGCCCGGCCTGCACTGCGGTGTTTCCCGCGCGGGCTACCCCAGTTCCCGGGTGTACGGCGCGGCCTTTTGTACAGCCGCCGGCGCCGTCGCCGTCATGGGTTTCCTGAAACTGATTGAGATCGAGAACTTTAAGTCGTACAAGGGTCGGCAGATTATCGGACCATTTCAGAGGTTCACCGCCATCATTGGACCCAATGGCTCTGGTGAGATAAACCTGGCTGCGGCCCTGCGCACGTCCCAGCCTGGACCCCCTAATCCGGTAGCAGAGTAGTACAACCCAGCCCGTGCGACCAGAAATGTCGCGAACCCTCACAGGTTCCTTTCCCTCCGGAACGGGTTCAATCCGAACCCGCTTTCCCAGCTCGGGTGCTCTGACTCGGACCTCTTCCCCAGGTGTCACTTGTCTGCTCTTTGCGCGGCCCCCGCCCCTGAGCGAGTGGTACGGGCCGATCTGTACGTTACCCCGCCCACTGCCCCCTCCCGCCAAAAGTGGCGCGTCCGGAGTTGTCAGCCAGCCGCGGGCCGTGCAGTTCCCCGCCGGACCTGCTGGATCTGGCTACTTCCCCTGCCTTGTTTGAACTCTCCGGAAAGTGTGGGGCTGCTGGTAGCCCTCCCAAGGCCTCCGGTCCCCAGCGGTACACTTTTCCCTCAGCCCAGCGCCCCCTCCCGCCTCGCATTGGTATGCTCCAATTCCTCCTTTTTTTTTTTTTTTTTTTTACTTTCCTCCGGAGGCGGCACTTTTGAATTTCTGACCCAGCGCTCCCGTCTCCAGCGGGAGTGCTTGGGGTGTCCACCCTCCACCTCCATGTCAGAGGTGGGGAATGGCTTGAAATACCTCCTTTGTTACCACTGGAACCATTGAAAGAACTCATTCGCTCGCCAAATTTATTGAATGCTTACTGTTTTATAAGGAGTTGTTCAAGGTGCTGTGGAAACAGCGGAGAATAGAGTAAGCCTTGCTCTCAGGGGACTTGCATTCCAGAGGAGAAAGACAATAATAAAGAAGGAGAAAATAAGACAACTTTTGGCTATGATGAATGCTATACAGGAAATTAGGTTGATGGGATACAGTGACTTGGGTGTTGTCTTTAGAAAGAGCGGTCAGTAGATAACTGTATTGTATATTTGAAAGTTGCTGAGAGAATAGATCACAAGGAAAAAATTGTTTATGTGAGGTGATGGATGTTAACTTATTGTGGTAATCATTGCTTGGTATATGCAAATGTGGAATCATTATGTTGTTATTTGAAACTAATACAATGTTATATGTCAGTTATATCTCAACAAAATTTGGGGGTGGGGGGAAGGGCGGTCAACTTAACTCCTCTGAATGATACGCTATTGGAGCGCCTGGGTGACTCAGTCGGTTAAGCGTCCGTTAAACTCTTGATCTCAGCTCTAGTCTTTATCTCAGGGTGGTCAGTTCAAGCCCCCCGGGGGGATGGAGCCTACTTAAAAAAAAAAAAAATAATACACTATGGATTTCTCCCATCTACCCCTACAAGCAGTCTCTTTGGAATCCTGCTGTGTTCCTCCACCCCAGAAATGTTCTAGCTAAATCATTTCCTAGCATGAAGGGCTGCCCTTGCTGACATACCTCAAACTCATGAACCTTCTCTGGAGTTTTGCCTGTGTTTGGTGCTCTTTGTAGAGCAAGGTTTCTCAACAGCGGCACTGTTGACATTTCTAGCAAGGTAATTCTTTGTTGTGGGGTTGGTCCTGTGCATTGTAGGTTGTTTAGCAGCATCCTGGGCTTTTACCCACTAGGTGGTAGCACCCCCACCCCCCACGTGTGACAACCAAAAATGTCTCCAGACATTGCCAGTGTCCCCTGGGAGGTGGGATAAATCACTCCCTGCTTCCCCTTACCTTGCTTGAGAACCACTGGCCTAGAGGACTAATGCTTGGGGTTCCACTTCAGTTTCTTAGGATTTTGGTGTGGTGGCCCCTGTGAAAAGAGCCAGAATGCACCTCTGGGCATTCACTCCTTTCAGCATGGGTAGATTTGTATACGCAGCTGTTCCAAAAAGACCTTAGTTTGGACCCCCTCCCCCGCCACTTCTTCAAAGCCCACCTGCACAAGCCATTCCTTGGGTCTCCTCAGTGAATTACTCTTCTTCTCTGGCTCACAGTAGATACTTGGTGCATGTTAATGTTTATATTTTTCTTTCTTGTATTCATGGATACGTTTTTGTATGTTCATCACTGGTTTATGAGTGCCCCCCCAAAGAAGACATTCCTTAAAACATTTTATCAGTATTCAGCTCATAATGCATGTTATAAAAATGTTTACAGTATTGAATGATTGCTAGTAGGGAGGGCTTTGGTTGTGAGACGTTCTTACTATCCCTGGAGAGCATGGGAGAAGCCCAAAGGTTGGGAGTGGACGCCTCGAAGTCTGACTCCCGGTCTGCTTGTTGTGTTAGCCCTGCTCTGATAAGGGAGCCGGAGCTAAGAGTTCAGACCTGTGTTAGGATAGGACTGCCATTTATTGAGCACCACTGTGTGTCAAGTACTTTATTTACTGGAACCTTTTACATTTAAATTCTCAAAATGACCCTATGAGGGAGATACCATTATCTTGGTTTTATAGGTGGGAAGGCTGAGGCACAAACCGTTATGATAACTTGCACACTGATTCTCAGAGCCAGGGTCAGAACCTGTGCCTGTCATACTTCAAAGCCTGTGCTTCTGCCGCTTCAGCTGAGAACTGTGTGCCCAGCATTATTTTAAAGGCTCTACCTATCAGTCATGGCTTTTTTAGATTTTCCAGGTGAGGGAATGGAAGGTCAGCTAAGAATTAGTGAAACTAAAAACCTGGTCTATTGGACTAGAATCCGAGCTCTTTTTTTTTTTTTTTTTTAATATAAGATGTTATTATTTGAGAGAGCAGGAGCAGAGGGAGAGGGACAAGCAGACTCTGCACTGAGCATGGACCCTGACATGGGGTTCAATCCCACCATCCCGAGATCACAACCTAAGCCTAAATCAAGAGTCGGATACTCAACCGAATGAGCCCGGGTACCCCTAGAACCCGAGCTCTTAATCACTGTTTTGTACTGCCTCTGTGGAAGGAACCAGGCTGCCATTTGTATAGCTGGGTAGAAAGGTGTGGGAAATCAGGTCCTCAGTTCAAGGTCGTATTAACATGTTAGGGGAGAATCTTGAGATAGAATTTATAGAGATTGGCCTGTTCTCCACTCCCTTGACCCCAGCCTAAATTAAAAAAAAATTTTTACCTGAGCCTAAAATGAAGAAAGTAACAATTGTGATTCCACTATTGAAAAGATAACCACTCTTTTTTTTTTTTTTAAGACTTTATTTATTTGTCAGAGAGAGAGAGAGTGCACAAGCAGGGGGAGCAGGCAGAGGGGGGAAGCAGGCCCCCTGCCGACCAAGGAGCCCAGTGCGGGACTGGATCCCAGGATCCCAGGATCATGACCTGAGCTGAAGGCAGACACTTAACCGACTGAGTCGCCCAGGTGTCCCAAAGATAACCACTCTTAATGTTAAGAATCTTATTTATTTGAATAGCTCATACCTGCACACAATATAAAATTCAAAAAATCCCAAAGGATAGACAGTAAAAAGACTCCCTTCCCTGACCTGTTACCTATTTTCCTTTGGGAAGCAACCACTGGTTACACTGTTTACATTTTCATGTATTTTTTCCTATGCCTTTGCCTCTCCCCAAGTTTTTATTATGAAAATATTCAAACCTACATGTGTGTTTTTGCTTAATCATTTGAAAGTAAGTTGCAGACTTAATGGCATTTCACCTCTAGGGATTCAGCATTTGACTCCTAAAATCATCATTTTCCTGTGTCACCACTAGACCGTGATCACACCTGGGAAAACTAATTTCCTTGTTATCTAATTATCTAGTTCGTATTCAAGCTTCCCTAATTGCTCCCCAAAATGTCTTTTGGGTTTTTTTGTTTTTTTTTAAGGGAAACTGGAATTCAGTTAAAGTTTGTGCACTGCCTTTGCTTGTTTCTCAGTGATTGCTTTCTGGAGTGGTTCTCCAAACTTTTCTTTTTAGATATTGACATTTTTTTTTTTTAAGATTTATTTATTTATTTGAGGCGGGGGGGAGTAATTGTGTGCGCATGGGGGGATGGGGGGGCAGGGCAGAGGGAGAGAAGTGGATTCCCCACTAAGCGGAAAGCCGAGCTGGGACTTGGGACTCTATCTCACAACCCTGAGATCATGACCTGAGCCAAAATCAAGAATGGATGCTTAACTGAGCCACCCAGGTGCCCCTAGACATGGACTTTTTTGAAAAGATCAGGGTAGTTGTCTTGGAGAGCATCCCAGATTCTCTCTTTGTCTTAGGATTTCCTCATGGAAAATCGTAAGATTTACCATGTTCCTCTAACTGCTATATTTCCCGTAAACTGGAAGGTAGATATAAAGGCTTGTTTAGATTGAGGTTAAATATTTTTGGCAAGATACTTCATAGATGGTGATGTACGCGTCATACTATATTACAATAAGAATATGCCCTTTTTTTGAGAGAGCACGTGTGCATGAGTGTGCCCATGGGGTGGGAGGGGCAGAGGGAGAGAATCTTAAGCAGATTCCATGCTGAGTGGGGAGCCCCATGGGGGGCTCAATCCCACAACCCTGAGATCACAACCCAAGCTAAAATCAAGAGTCTGACACCCAACCAACTGAGACACCCTGGTGCCCCTAGGAATATGCCTTTTAAAAAATTATAGTAAAATATACATAGCCATATTTGCCATCTTAATGAGTATACAGTTCAGGCGTATTAAGTATCTTCACATTGTACAACTGATCTGAACTTTTTCATCTTGCAAAATTGAATTTGTACTCAATAAACAGCAACTCCCCATTATTACCTTCCTTCAGCTCTTGGTTGGTTTTGTTTTGTTGTTGTTGTTACTTTTTTTTTTTTTTTTAAGATTTTATTCATTGAGAGAGAGAGCGAGCACACAAGCAGGGGGAGCGGCAGGCAGAGGGAGAAGCAGGCTCCCCGCTGAGTAAGGAGCCCGATGCAGGACTTGATCCCCCTGGGATCATGACCTGAGCCAAAGGCAGACACTTAACCGACTGAGCCACCCAGACATCCCTGTTTTTTTTTACTTTTAAACTTGGTTGAGATCATACTATATTGAGTTTTATATCTGCTTATTTTTTCTATTGTGGGCATTTCCCCATGTCATTAAAAGTTGTAGAACAATCCATTGTGTGAATATGCTGTTTCCTTAGTTGGGGTTCTAGTCTTTAACTGTTCTAGGTAATAATTGCATAGGGACTGTTTCTCTAAGCTGTCGAACCAAGGCTTTGGTGGGGCGGAGCTGTGTTTCCTGACTTCCCCTCCTTTGCTTTGCCCTCTGCTCCCTTAGGTAAGTCAAATCTCATGGATGCAATCAGCTTCGTGTTGGGTGAGAAAACCAGCAACCTGCGAGTAAAGACCCTGAGGGACCTGATCCATGGAGCTCCTGTGGGCAAGCCAGCTGCCAACCGGGCCTTTGTCAGCATGGTCTACTCTGAGGAGGGTGCTGAGGACCGCACCTTTGCCCGTGTCATTGTTGGTGGGTGAGGCTGGCCAGAAGGCCCCCCCTGGGTCCTGGGAGGTGACTAGGCTAGTTGGCTGGGATAGGAGGGAGGTCTGACCTTCAGCCAACTCATGCACTGTCTTGTAGGAGGTTCCTCTGAGTACAAGATCAACAACAAAGTGGTCCAGCTACATGAATACAGTGAGGAATTAGAGAAGTTAGGCATTCTCATCAAAGCTCGTAACTTCCTCGTCTTCCAGGTGAGCATTTTTAAGTTACTGGCTATCTGCTGTTTGCTGACCCTTGTCCCATCCTCAGTGGGCCTGCTCCATCTTGAGCTTCATCTCTTCCCTGAACTAATGTAGCAGCTTCCTCACTGGGCTTACTGACTCCAGTCTGGCCCCTTCTAGTTCATCTCTTAGGCTAGGTTCATCTTATGAGGGCACAGATCTGTTTCTTTCCTTTTTCTCCTTAAAGCATTTCAGTGATTTCTCATTGCCTTATAAGGTGGTTGTCAAATTGTAGTCTCTGGATCAGCATCAACTGGGGACATGTTAGAAATGCACATTCTCTGGTTCCATCCTAGACCTATAGACATAGAGACTATGGGGTGGGCCCAGCACTGGGTATTTTACCAAGCTTTCCAAGTTATTATGCATGCTGAAGCTGGAGAACCATTGCTTTAGCATAAACTCCAAACTCCTGTCATTCAGGAAACATCCTTTGGTTCTTGTCCACCTCACTAGCCCCTCATCTGCCAGTACTTTTCCCTTCCAACCCTGCATTCCAGCCCAATTAAACCATTATAGTTCCCACAATTCACCTGCTTTCTTTGGCCTGCAGGCCTTTGCATATTAATTGTCCTTTACGTGAAATAACCTTCTCTCTTAACTTTCTTGGTTCTTCCCCATCTTTCAAACTCAGCTTAGATGTCACCTTTGGGAAGCTTTTCTGGACAGACACCCCTGCCAGTCTCCCACCCACAAGCTTCTTTTAGTCCTTTTTCTGTGCTACTTCTGTCACTGCATGTAACACATGGCATTGTCTTTGCTTTTGTCCCTTTTGCTTCCTGTGCACCTCAAGAGGCAGGGAATGTGTCCTTAAAGCCCAGTGTGAAATGTGGCACAGGGTCAGTGACCTTTTTCTGAATGATCCAGTGGAAACGGGTGGAGGGAACTGGGCCGGCTAGGCTCTAAGCGGGGAGAGTGTTTTGACCTTTACTAGGGTGCTGTGGAATCTATTGCCATGAAGAACCCCAAAGAGAGGACAGCTCTATTTGAAGAGATCAGTCGCTCTGGGGAACTGGCCCAGGAATATGACAAGCGAAAGAAGGAAATGGTGAAGGCTGAAGAGGACACACAGTTTAATTACCATCGCAAAAAAAACATTGCGGCTGAACGCAAGGAGGCCAAACAGGAGAAAGAAGAGGTAGGCGGCTGGGCTGCCTGTGGGCTCTGAGGGGCCCGGATGGAGCCAGTACCTTACTGATGCACCCCTGTTTCCATGCCCTCGTTTGCACAGGCTGACCGTTACCAGCGCCTGAAGGATGAGGTGGTGCGAGCTCAGGTGCAGCTGCAGCTCTTTAAGCTTTATCACAACGAAGTGGAAATTGAGAAGCTCAATAAGGAACTGGCCTCTAAGAACAAGGAGATCGAGAAGGACAAGAAGCGAATGGACAAGGTAGAGGATGAGCTGAAGGAGAAGAAGAAGGAGCTGGGCAAAATGATGCGGGAGCAGCAGCAGATTGAGAAGGAGATCAAGTAAGAGGCAGGCCTGGGCCTGCAACCTGTGGGAAACCAAGAGCTGTGCTGTTTCCTAGGGCTCCTCTGAGCCTAGAGTCCAGTGCTCGCACTAGTTTGTCTTCCTCTTGACTTGCTTTGGCCAGAACCAAGCACATTTCTTGACTCGCATTTTAGACAAATAGAGTATTTAAGTATTCAGACTCTGGGAAGATAGATGGGTACTCATAAAAGAGAGGCCTTGAAAGGGGTGGTGACCTTGGCAAGTGAGAGGAAGTGATGGGAGGCCCAGCTCCTAGAGTGGCTGGGAATGCCTTCCTGGAAGAGGAAAACTGGAGCTAGAAGTTTAAAGGACAGGAATTTGAAAAGGTTAGATCAGATGGGGGCAACTAAATGGGTACAGGGCGTTCTTGGGAGTTGTTCCTGAGGGGCCTGGCCTGGCTAGAGCTGAGGCAGGAGTGGTAGCTTTACCTAATGGAGTGGCTGGAATGTCAGGCTGAAGCCATCAGTTCCAGGGAATAGTCAGACTGGCCCTTTTCTGAGGATCTGTGCAGCATCAGGGCCCTTGTTCTTTAGGCAATTCCCTGAGGCTGGCTGGGGGCCTCAAGCCCCCCTTTGGGTAAAAAGCCTGGGAACCCCCCCTTTTCCCACACTGCTAACTGATATACTCCTCTCCCTTCTGGCAAAAGGGAGAAGGACTCAGAGTTGAACCAGAAGCGGCCTCAGTACATAAAAGCCAAGGAGAATACCTCCCATAAAATCAAGAAGCTGGAAGCAGCCAAGAAGTCCCTACAGAATGCTCAGAAGCATTATAAGAAGCGTAAAGGTGACATGGATGAGCTGGAAAAGGAAATGCTGTCAGTAGAGAAAGCCCGGCAGGAGTTTGAGGAACGGATGGAAGAGGAGAGTCAGAGTCAGGGCAGAGACTTGACCTTGGAGGAGAATCAGGTAAGCTCTGGGAGGGTTGGGGGTGGGATGGGGGATTGCTCTGCTGACAGAGACTGATTTGGTTGGTTGTTCCTGACACAGGTGAAGAAATACCACCGGTTGAAAGAAGAAGCCAGCAAGAGAGCAGCTACCTTGGCCCAGGAGCTGGAGAAGTTCAATAGAGATCAGAAAGCTGACCAGGACCGGCTGGATCTGGAAGAGCGGAAGAAAGTAGAGACAGAGGTGGGCATGTGTTATAAGATGAGGGATAATGGGCCAGAGAAAAAGAAGTGATGGTAGTCTTAACAGTAATGACAATAGCTAACAACTAGTGAGCACTTACTGTGTGATAGGCGCTGTATTTTACTTGTATCCACTCATTTAATTCCTCGTTTTCCAAATGAGGAAACAGTAGTGCAGACATGAAGTAATTTGCCTAAGGTCACATCACTATGAAGTGGCAGAACCAGGATGTGAACCTGGGTAGTCTAGCTCTGAAACCCATACTCTTATTAAGTATACCTTGCTTACAGCCTTCCTAATAACAATAATAGTTGTTATAGTGCTCCAAGAAGAGCCTACGATGTTTCAGGCGTTCTGCTAAGCACTTCCTTTAAAGATCTAAAAGAAGGTGGTAGGCATTAATATTAATAGCTATACTGTGTTAAGCACTTAATACGTGCTTTATGAAGGGGAGGTCGCCTACATTTTACAGATGAGAAAACAGGTGCAGAAAGGCCTGGAAAGCTTTACTTTGCCTTGGTTTGAGCCTCCCTGTTTGGTGAGGAAGCTAGCCTGAGCTAAGTAGAACACCATGAGAAGGTCTCAGGGATCTGGGAGGCCCATCAATTAGCAGAGCCACACTGAGCACTGTTGTGTGTCTGCTTTTTAGTAGGTTTCCCCCATTAGTGACAGATTGTCCTGGACTGTTGGGCTCTTGGATGAGTGGGTACATAGCGGGTATAAGCCAGGGCCCCGTGGTCTTGGAGTTAACTTGCTCAGCCTCTGGTCATGGTGTGTATTTGTCTTTCTTCCAGGCCAAGATCAAACAAAAGCTGCGGGAGATTGAAGAGAATCAGAAACGGATTGAGAAACTAGAGGAATACATCACCACTAGCAAGTATGTGGCTCTGCAGCCTTTCTTCTTACTTCCAGGCTTGTTCTTGTGAACCCTGTCGGTCCTGCCCCTCCCCGGGCAGGATCAGCTTGGAAGGGTAACCCCTGTGTTCCCTCACTTTGTAGGCAGTCCCTAGAGGAGCAGAAGAAGTTGGAGGGGGAGCTGACAGAGGAGGTGGAGATGGCCAAGCGGCGTATTGATGAGATCAATAAAGAGCTGAACCAGGTGATGGAACAGCTGGGGGATGCCCGTATCGACCGACAGGAGAGCAGCCGCCAACAGCGAAAGGCAGAGATTATGGAAAGCATCAAGCGCCTATACCCTGGCTCTGTGGTAAGAGTGGAAAGGGAACTAATTTCCTGAGCACTTACTCTCCCACTCACTGTCAGATAATTTTCCCAGCAGCCCTGTGAGGACAAGGTTGCTTATCCCTTGTTTACAGCTGGGGGAACAGGCTCAGAGAGGTTAAGTGACATGCCCAAAACAGCACAGCTTATAAGTGGAAGAACTACAGTTCAAACCCAATTGTTCTGACTTGTGACCTCATGTTCTTTTCATCACACCAATTGCATCTTCCTGGAGGTTTTGTCTTGCTGTGTCCACTCCTCTGTGGAAGGTGGGGAGACTGGGTAGGCCTTTCGAAGAGGGAGGGGTCACAGGACAGGGATTAGTCTCCCAGGAAGTAACTGCAGCCTTCTATATATGATCTCCCTTGGCATGTACCAACCGATTCGTTTGCTTATAGGGACATCCTAGGCTTTATCAGAGCTCTTGGCCTCTTGAACCAAATCCTGAGTTTCCAGGTTCCCTGAATATTATCTCTCTATTGCTGTAATTCCGTCCCTGGGTTCAACTTAATTTGTTTCCACAAATATTTCATGATCTCTCCTCTAGACACTGCTGGGGATATAAGGATGAATTAGGCTCATTCCCTGCCCTTGAAGATCTTACCCTTTATCTGATAGTTCTTAGGGAACCACGATTGGTTTAGAGGGCATGGGGGACGTGAACTGGAAAAAGATGTATTTTGCTGGGTGCTTGTGAGAATTTGAGGTATAAGGTATCTGACATAGTGCCTGGGGCAGCAGTGGTCTGTGAAATGGTAAAAGTGAGGCTTAGAAAGATGCTTTTGGGGTTCAGGCATGACTGAAGTGATTGTTGCTTTGGGGCCAGAGTAGGGTTTTCCTCCATAGCATGGAAGCCGTGTTCCTCACACAGATTTTGGTCTGCCCCTTTCTGAGCTGGGAATTGGGGTTCTTGAGCCAGTTCCCAAAAGCCTCATGCTTCAATTTTCTCTTCTGACTTTCCTCAGTATGGCCGCCTCATTGACCTCTGTCAGCCCACACAGAAGAAGTATCAGATTGCTGTAACCAAAGTTTTGGGCAAGAACATGGATGCCATTATCGTGGACTCTGAGAAGACAGGCCGGGACTGTATTCAGTACATCAAGGAACAGCGTGGGGAGCCTGAGACCTTCTTGCCTCTTGACTACCTGGAGGTGAGGCTGGTGGGGATGGGGTCAGGGCAGTGTGAGAGGGCCCCTCCTCCTAGCCCTCCATGTTCTGCCACTTACTGAGCTGTTTCCACAGGTGAAACCTACAGATGAGAAGCTCCGGGAACTGAAGGGGGCCAAGCTGGTGATTGATGTGATTCGCTATGAGCCACCCCACATCAAAAAGGCCCTGCAGTATGCTTGTGGCAATGCCCTCGTCTGTGACAATGTGGAGGATGCTCGCCGCATTGCCTTTGGAGGCCACCAGCGTCACAAGGTTTGGATTCCTGTGTCCACGTTGGAGGTGGAGCGTCCTTGTCCACATTAGTATTGGAGATTCTCCTATTCATCTTCTCCCCCTCTTCTCCCTACTGTGTGTAGACAGTGGCACTGGATGGGACCCTGTTCCAGAAGTCAGGGGTGATCTCTGGTGGGGCCAGTGACTTGAAGGCCAAGGCTCGGCGCTGGGATGAGAAAGCAGTAGATAAATTGAAAGAGAAGAAGGAGCGGTTGACAGAGGAGCTGAAAGTAAGTCAAAGGCAGCACTGTCCCTAGGGGTTAGACTCCTAAGGCCAGTTCGGCCAGTGCCCTTCTTACCCCCTACCCCTTCCCTTGTTGACTTCAGGAGCAGATGAAGGCAAAGCGGAAAGAGGCAGAGCTACGTCAGGTGCAGTCTCAGGCTCATGGACTGCAGATGCGGCTCAAGTACTCTCAGAGTGACCTGGAACAGACCAAGACACGACATCTAGCCCTGAATCTACAGGTGGGGCCTGGCCTTCATCCCTGTCCTCCAAAGGCTGCCCTCACATTACATTCCTGGCTGAGGTTTCTTTGGGGGTGGGGGGGGTGGGAACTTGTCCCATCTCCCTCCACCCATCCTGCTTCAGGGAACCAAGCATAGCAGTCAGCCAGCCAGGGTTTCAGATCTCGGCTCTGTATGACGGGAGGCAACTTACTTAATGTGTCAGTATCAGGTTTTCATCTATTTGTAAAATGGGAGTTAGAGTTACCACCTGCTTTATACCATTCTTACAAAGATTGAATGAATTCATACATGTAAAGTACTTAGACTGATTCCTTGAACCCAGTAAGTGCTCAGTAAATATTAGATGCTATTATTAGCATCAGTTATTCAACAGATAATCTGAGCTGTTTCGAAAAGTGAACTGAAAGTAAGTACAGGCATTTTATTCTCTGTGGGTGGGAGTTCTTCTAGGTGTGTTAATGTGTTTGATCATGGGGTGCTTCCCGAGACCAACCTGGAGGCATTATGTAAAATGTAGTATAAATATCCTTTTACCTTTTTCTAAAATCAAAAAGTCTGAATTCCAAGGGTTGTAGTTAAGGGAGTGTGGACCTATAATTGATGATGTTTACTGTGTGCCCAGCCCTGTGAATTGAAGCTGGCCGACTGGAGGCCGGGGAGGAAGCTGTGTGATGCTTCACGTGGGAGATAATGGAACCTTTACTGGGTAGTTCTAAGCTGAGTTTTCTCAGCATGTGGAGCGCTAGCTCTTCCTGTCCAGGGGCCAGTGTGCTCAGAGTGGCTCTTTCCTTCAAGGAGCCTGGTCTCTTTTTTCCCTCAACCCTGTTCCCTGCAGGAAAAGTCCAAACTGGAGAGTGAGCTAGCCAACTTTGGGCCTCGCATTAATGATATCAAGAGGATCATCCAGAGCCGAGAGAGGGAAATGAAAGACTTGAAGGAGAAGATGAACCAGGTTGGTAGGGGCTGAACCGTGCCAGCATATGCAGTGGGGCAGGACGGGGCTGGCAGCAGCACTCTGACCTGAAGGACCTTTACCCTCCCTCACTTCTCCCCTCAGGTAGAGGATGAGGTGTTTGAAGAGTTTTGTCGGGAGATCGGTGTGCGCAACATCCGGGAGTTCGAGGAAGAGAAGGTGAAGCGTCAGAATGAAATTGCCAAGAAGCGGTAGGTGGAAGTTTGGGTACAAGAGGACTCGGGGGTGTCCTTGAGCCCCCAGCCTGATATCCTGGGAAGTCACATGGCATCATAAGACAGGGAGCAGCTCTTAGAACGATGGGTGTTTACTGTAGGTCAGCTTTAAAGAACAGGGACATCAGGGAGGCGGTGTGGCATAGTCTTGTGGTTAGAGCGCCAGCTTTATCTATCTATCTATTTATTTAATTTGTTTATTATGTCAGAGCGCGCGCGTGCACACAAGCAGGGGGAGTAGCAGGCAGAGGGAGAGGGAGAAGCAGGCTCCCTGCTGAGCAAGGAGCCCGATACGGGACTTGATCCCAGCACCCCGGGATCATGACCTGAGCCGAAAGCGGACGCTTAACCGACTGAGCTACGCAGGCGTCCCAAGAGTGCCAGCTTTAAGCATGGTTTACCTGGGTTAGAATCCCAGCTCCCCAACTTGTTATCTTGGGCAGTGAGTGACTCAGGACCTCTCTGTCTCTGAGCCCTAGTTTCTTTATCTGTCAAGTTGGTTAATACTGATGCCTATCTCATGGCATTATTGGGCAGATCAGATGAACTAGTCTTTCTAAAGCATTTAGCATAATACTTAGCACCTACTAAGAGTAGTAAATGCTAGCTTTTATTATTGTCATTTTCCTGATAGGCAATGGGGTGGGGTCTGGGAGGTATGAAGTTCTAGGTTGGAAGAATAGTAAGAACAAAGCAACAGTTTCTCTTCTCTTCCCCTCTTTAGTTTATCAATTCATTTAACAAACTTTTCTTGAGTACCTTTGCTGTACCAAGTTGTCCTGTGCTAGGTATTGGTGGGGAGACAGGGGTGAGACCGACAAACATGACAGTCTCTGAAAGAGGTCACCGCCTGGACCCTGGGACTCAGTCTGCAGTTCATGTAGCCCATGGCCCATATAGTAAATATTCATTGCCCTCCTAACCCTAAGCCAGTCTCAAGGGATATAGAATGGACTCGGAGACTGTCCCTGTCCTCAGGGAGTTAACGGAATAATTGGGAAGACAAACAAGTAGGTCAACAATTTGATGCTGTACTTGATGTACATAGAAAATACAGAGGAAATGTTCAAAGAACTGCAAGTCAAGAGGAAAAATAAAAACAAGAGACCCAACAGGGAAATGGACAGAGGATGTAGTTAGCATTTCATGGAAAGAGAAGCACACATGGCTGATAACTACAAACTGATGTTCAGTCTTGTTCCTAATCAGAGAACTACAAATTAAAATAGTCTAGCAGTATTTGGTGAAAATAAGTCTACATAAGCTCTGTGACTTAGCAAAGCCACTCCTGGCTGGGTATATATCTCAGAGAGAGTCTTGCCACTGGGTCACAAAGAGACACATTCAGGCTTGTCTGTCTTGGCATCATTTGTGGTAGTAGGATGTTGGTGGCAATGTGGACAGCCATCACTTATGGAAAATATAAGTTAAATGTGATGAATATACAGACTATACAATACTGTGTAGCAATTCAAAGCAGGAACTGGATTTATAGGCAGTAACATGGGTAAATTTATAACACTGTGCGTTTGTGAAAATTTAAAAACAAGCATATTTTACAAGGATATGCATTCTTAAGGCTATATACGTATGTATGTATGTATACACGTATGTCACTTTGGAGTACATGTTCACCATAGGGAAAATAATGGGAGTGGAAATCAGGAATGGAGACAAGGGTCTTGCACAGACAGCGAACATCTGTGTGTAAGGAACTGTGGGATAGAATTAACTGCACCAAAAAGGGAGAAAGCCCAGAAAAGTGTAATAGAAATGAAGAACCTGCTCACAGCTGTCGGGAAAGCTTTTACAGAACAAGAAGTGATGAACTAGATGCCTGTAGAGTGAGTAGGACTTAGCCAGCTGGGCAGCAGACAGAAGGAAGTTCCAGGTAGTGAGAACAGCATGCTCAGAAGTGTGAGAGAGTGTACCTTGTACTGGAAACTAAGTAGTTTTTGAATGTCTGGAGCATACAAATGGGGTCAGGAGGAAGGCGGGGGTGGTGGACAGGTCAGCAGGGGCCAGATCACAGAGGGCTTTATGAGTCATGCTTAGGAGATTGGACTTAAAATTGCATAGCTTAAAATTATAGGGTTAATTATATTCCATTTGGATTATAGTGACTAATAGGTTTAAGCTGCTAGCATGACATCTGGCAGCATCTGTCACACCATATTGGAGGAGTGGGGAGGCAGTTGGAAATTAGCCCTGCCTGGCCTGCTAGTATCTGGATGCTGGTTATATACTCTTTTGAGTTTGTGAAGAGACAGGGAGCAGGGCAATGGCAGGAATCTAGTATTTTCTCCATGGCTTTTTTTTACTACCCAAGCTCTGCTCCTTGAAGGTTCTGGGATATGGGTGTGTTGGGGGGTGATAGTTGAAAAGAGTCAAAGCCCGTGAGCAAATGTGAGCAGAATGCAGCCAGTAATACTTGTCAATAAAATTTATTAAGTTCTTACTGGGTGTCCAGCATGCTTCTCAGGACTTGATGCATATTAATTCATTAAAAAATCTCCCAATAACTCTTGAAGTAAGTACTATTGTTATTTCCATTTTACACGTGAGGAGACAGAGGCATGGAGAGTATAACTTGCCCGAGATTACACAACTAGTAAATGGCAGGGTTTGGATGCCAGACCTCTTTTCCCATCACATTATATTGCGATGGTGCCATAGGAGAAGGAGCCTGGATTTTGGTATTAGACCTGGCTTCCAATCTCACATGTGCCCATTTATTAGCTGTGTGGCCTTGGGCAAGGTCTTTTACCTCTTGGCCCATGTTTCCTTATTTGTAAAATTAGGATAATAATGCTTACTTCTGGAACTATTAATTAGAGGATTAGAGGTAATTATGTAAAGTACACAGAAACTTAATAAATAGGAATTATCATAGCTGGTGGGTTCAGGTGGACCTTTTTGTGCCTCCTAGGAACTTGGAAGGGCTCTGGAGTCTTCCAGTGTATAAAAGGGGATTAGTGGAGTTTGGCCCAATCTCCCCTGCCTTGTGCCATATCCACAAGGCTAGGCTGAGGGACTTAGTTCTCCATCTTCAGGGAACAGTTTTATGTGGATGTGAAGGGATGAGCTGAGTGGTGACTGAAATTCAGCAGTAACTGAATCCCTGCATCCTGAACCTAGTTCTCCTTTCTCCCCACAGTTTGGAGTTTGAGAATCAGAAGACTCGCTTGGGCATCCAGTTGGATTTTGAAAAGAACCAACTGAAAGAGGACCAGGATAAAGTACACATGTGGGAGCAGACAGTGAAAAAGGATGAAAATGAGATAGAAAAGCTCAAGAAGGTAAGGAAGGAGAGCATAAAAAGACATACTAAAAACTGGGAGGAAAAATTGGAAGAGATATGATAGAAGGATAATATCCATAATTTATAAAGCCCCATTGAAATAAGGAAACACCAAGACCTGAATAGGAAAAAAAAAAATGAGTAAGAGGCACAAACAGTTCAAGATGATTCAAATAGCCCGTAAACATATACACATAATTTAGCCTTATTAGAAGTCAAAGAAATGCAAATTAAAGCAACAATCAGATGTAATTTGTTTCCTATCATGTTACCCAAGATTTAAAAAAAAAAAAAACAACCCCAGATGATTAATACTGGCCACGGTGCACAAGACCAGCATTCTTACACCATATGGCACCATCCATCAAGAGTCTTCAGGATATATTTATCCCCTCTTAGTCAGTAATACCTGAGGAAATCCAAAATGCTGGCACAGCTTCGTGCACGGAGGTTGATGTTTATTACAAACATTTATAGTTCCATATTGGAAACTGTCCAGTGTCCTCTGGGAATTCAGAGTTTAGCAAATTACGCTACGTTCATACATGTAATTGCGTAGTTTAATGGTCTTCAAATTTTAGTAGTACACAGACCCCATTTAAAGATCTAAGATCTTTTTAAAAAAATCCTTGACGTTAAATACATACAAACATACATACTTAGAGCACTTCACCAAAAAGCCTGGACAGACTTATAAATTAATTTTTATAATTAACCACATTAATTTAGCACAACAGATGATGGTGTTTTGCTGAAACCTAGTCCCTTTTCACATTGCACCAGTGTTGCTCACGGCTCAGTTCGAGTCAGGCTTGCCTGTGTCACTGGGTATCGTCCAACAACTCACTTTTCCTACATTCTTTCTCTTTAAGTTCCTGTGAAACCTTTGTTCTTCCTACAGCATCCCCTCCTGAGGTGATTTGATCCTCTTCACTTGGCTTAAACCTATCATTTGACTTTTATGTCTGCCTATGTTTGTTGTTGGGGAGGTGTGTGTATATGTATGTGTGCGCATGCGTGCGTGTGTTTTCATTAAACCCTGATAATTAAAGTAGTCCTCTTTGCTGTCACTGGAATCTTAAATGCAAATGCAGATCGGGCAGGAGTAAGTGGACAGCTAGATGATCCAGAATCCTATGTCTATGCCTTTTTGACTTTTTATTTTGAAATCATTTGAAACTTAGCAGAAAGTGGCAAGACTACTACAGAGAACTCCTACCTACCTGCCACCAAGATTCACCAATCACTGACATGCCATATTTGCTTCTGCATTGTCTGTGTATGCATATTATTTTTATGAGCCATTTGGGAGGAAGTGGCAGATATGTCCCCTTTAAATGACTTTAAGATCAAAATGAAAACCAAACGTTCTTCCTTTTAAAAAAATCAGGTCTATTAAGTAAGACTACAATCCCCTTGACTGACCACTCTCAATGCCACTCCCTTTCCTCTTCCTGGAGCTAATCCCATGTAGTGGGTATTCTTCCAGACCTTATAGGCATTTACTTAAATACTTGTACATTCATGTCGTACTCATAGAAAATACATAGTATTGTTTGTGTGGGTTTTTTTTTAAACATTGATGTTATATTGCCCATGACAGTAATTTTAATGTGGAAAAGGTGCTCAAATATAACATTAAGTCAGAATATAGGGTTTTAATTGCAATATAGTCTAAACTCTGTAGAGCCTGTCTATAAGTAGTGTTAGGAGGAAATAGGCTAAAATGTTAATTGGTTGTCTCTGGCTGGTGGGATTACGAGTGATTTTTTTTCTACTTGATACTGTTTCAATTCTTTGCACTTTTCTATATCAGGCAACTTGTATAATGGGGTGTGGGGGAGGGCAACCAAATTTGAAAAAAGATAAAGAGACACCTAAAGGGTGATGGTGGTATGTGAAAGCAGAGCTTCCTGAAGAGAGGCTCTGACACGCCTTGGAGGCTCCTTCTGCCTGGTGGAGAGGGTGGGGGGCAAGGGGAGAAGATCTTAGAGGAGATGAGGAAAACGTTCACTTCTTGTCCTGTTCCCCCTGCTGGGACCAGGAGGAGCAAAGACACATGAAGATCATAGATGAGACCATGGCCCAGTTACAAGACCTGAAGAATCAGCACCTGGCCAAGAAGTCGGAGGTGAATGACAAGAATCATGAGATGGAGGAGATTCGTAAGAAACTGGGGGGCGCCAACAAGTGAGTGGGTTCAGGCCTGGGGTTGGGGGACCTAGGTAGAGCAGGCAGCCTGCTGGATTTGGATCTCACCTTTCTACCTGGACCTTTTAGGGAAATGACCCATTTACAGAAGGAGGTAACAGCCATTGAGACCAAGCTGGAACAGAAACGCAGTGACCGCCACAATCTGCTGCAGGCTTGCAAGATGCAGGATATCAAGTTGCCGCTGTCTAAGGGCACCATGGATGACATTAGTCAGGAAGAGGTGAGTATCAGATCACGGCTGGTGGTGGGAGTGGGCAATGAACAGCATTAACCAGGGATGGGGGATGAAAGTGACCGGGGGCAGCGGGGGGGGGAAAGGGAAAAGGATGGTGGGCGGGGGTGGTGGGGGACAGAAGGAGGGATGCAGGGGAGATGAGGCAGGGTGAGGCTGTGAAGGCAGGTAGGGGAAAGGTAGTAGCCTTGGTATGAAAGGGAAGTTGAGTTGGGGGTGGTGCTGGATGTCAGTAGGTGGTGAGGGAGGGAAGCCAGGAAAAGATGAAATCATTCTGTAACCTTAGGGACTTGAGCTAAAAGCTCTAGCAGGTGTTGGATATTGCTAAGAGTGGCAATTGAGGGACATTAGCCAAGAGCAAAGGAAGATGGACGATGGGGGACCTGAGAGATGATGGCCGAGCTGCAGTGAGGGAGGTTGGCCAGGAGACGGTTGGGTAAGGGACATCAGCAATGCAGAGGTGACAAGGCTTAGTCATAGGAAAAGGGAGGGACACTAGCCAGTAGAGGAGCCAAGGCATTTTATGCACTGAAGGTGAAGATTGGTAGCAAGGGGTGGGAACATTAACTGAGAGGAGGTTTGCATATATTTGTTTTAGACCTGGGCATGTATCTCAGCCCCACATGTCTCTCTCCCTCCCTCTTCCCAAATAGCATTTCAGTTTAATTCAGCAAAATATTTTGAACACCAGAAATGTGCCAGGCGCCTTGGTAACATGTGACGTAATTACTCCTAATCCTAAACACAACCCTGCCAGGCAGGCAGTATCCCATGTTACAGTTGAGGGTTTGTTTAAATCAGGTTTCTGGTGTCAGGATCTGAGCCATGACTTGCCCAGGATGACAGTGTTAGTCAGTGGTAGAGCCCAACTTTGAACTGAGGTCTTTGTGCCTTCAGAGCTGCTGTCCTGCCATAGGTGCTCCAGCAAGGTGCTTCGAAAAGACTTTGAAGGCTACAAAGGAGTGCACCCCCCCCCCGGCCCCCGTTAGAGGGGCATTCTATGGCCAGTGTGCTCCATTGGACTCTCCCTCTCACCATTGCAGGGTAGCTCCCAGGGGGAGGATTCAGTGAGTGGTTCCCAGCGAACTTCCAGCATCTATGCACGAGAGGCCCTGATCGAGATTGACTACGGTGACCTTTGTGAAGACCTGAAGGTGAGGATCAGCCACAGGGGCGGCGACATCCTCCCAGCTGTTCAAAGGGAGAGTCAGCCCACCCGGGGGGCCCCATGGAGACCACAGCTACAAAGAGGGGCAGGCTGGCGAGGAAGGGAGGGAGCTGTGATTTAGTGTCTCCCCTAGCTATGCACACACAGACACAGGCGCATCTTCCACCACCACCCTCAGGTGCCCCCGTCCCTGCCTGCTGCCAGTCTTCCCCTTCCACGCATGTACACTTCTCGGCCCAGGTGCACACACAAAGGACATGCTCCTTTACAGCGAGCAGATGGGCCTTGGGTGTCCTCGGTGCTCTGTCCCCGGCGCCCTTCCCTTCTCACTTTTGGCATTCTCGCATCCTGGGTATCTGTTTTACCCCCTTGGCCCCAGCTGCCATGTGTGCTATGCTCCACAGGTACCTCAACCCCCAGCCTTCCCCAAATCTGCCCTTTCTCCTCGGTGCCAGCCACAGGTTCAAACCAGAAATCTGTGCCTCATCCTCGACTCCCCCTTTCACTTTGCATATTCATTGAATTACCAAGCCCTATCCATTTTACCTCCTAAATATCTATTGAATTCTACTTTTTTTCTGTTTCCACTGTCTCTCTAGTACAAGCCATTTCACCTCTCACATGGCCTACTGCAGGAACCTCCTAAACACTTCCTGATGCTTTCCCATCCATCCTTATGGCCAGGGGGACATGATTTTTAAAGAAATCGTTATTGTGGAAAATTTCAAACATACACAGAAAGAGAATAATATAATGAACCCCAGTACCCATCACCCAGCTTCAACAGTTAGCAACATATGGTATCTTGTTTTCTGTACCCCTCCCTTTCCAATTGGCATATTTTAAGTCAAATTCCAGGTAACATTTCATTCATAATTAATCTCTAGAAAGAAGGACATTTTAAAAAACATAATAGTATCATACCAAAAAAAATTGAAGACTAACTGCAATATCACCTAATATTCAGTAAATGTTTGGATTTGCACGAATATCCCATAAATACCATTCTTTTTTAAAAAAACATAGTCTGTGTATTTAAATCAGGATTCAAAGGAGGTTCATATGTTAAAAGTGGTCTCTCCTAGTCTGTACCATTTTCTTATCCCTTTTTATTTTTTTATACCTATTTATGGAAGAAACTGGGTCATTGGTCGTGTACAATTTTCTACATTCTGAATTTGGCTTGATTATGTCTTATGATGTTATTTAACGTGTTCTTCCATTCCCTGTATTTCCTGTAAACTGGTACTTAAATCTAGGGTTTGATTGGATTTAGTTCATTTTCTGTTTATTTTTGGCAGGAATATATCATAGGTGGTGCTGTCTACTTGTGAACTTTCTTTTGCGTCGCATAAGTTGACATTGAATGTCATTTCGATCTTTGTACTAAATTTGGTCAGTGTTCAACATTACCTGTGAAATATTCTTGTCAAAAACTCAAGGATCTGATCAAGCTTTTATGGCCACCAATTATATGAAACACCAGTGCCAGAGAACGTGTTAAATAAAAACACAGGGATGCAGTTAGCTAAATCCAGACTGTGGGAAACTATGGGCCTGGTCTCTTCCACTGATAAATGAAAGAAACCAAACAGAGGGGGAAAATTTTTATTGGCTATAAGAGACAAATCAACCAACGGGAATATGTGGCATTTCTGTGAATCCATTGCAAAGAGAGGAAGGGGAATTTAGCCATTAAATGAGACTTAAGAGACAGATCAGCTAATTGCGATGTGTGTACCTTATTTGAAACCTGCTTTGAAAAACCTGTGAAGAATTTTTTTTTTTTTTTACAAAACAATCAGGATAATTTGAACACTGACCAAAGAATTTATGATGTTCAGAAATGCCTATGTTTTTAGGCGAGATGATGATATTGTGGCTTTATTTTTTAAGTATCCTTATCTTTTATAGCAGTGGTTCTCAATGGTGCATGGGTTTTTCCTCCCCAGGGGACTTTTGGTAATGTCCGGAGACACTTGCAACATCCACTTGTCATAATTGGTTACTGACGGTGTCTTGTAGGTAGATACAAGGGATGCTGCTAAACATCTTAACAGTGCACAAAGGACAGCCCTCACAACAATGAGTCATCTGGTGCAAAATGTCAATAGTGCTGAGATTCAGAAACCATTTTAGAGATATACTGAAGTATTTGTGGATGAAGTGGTATGTCTGAGATTTGCTTTAGAATAATTGAAGATAGAAAGGAATTGAGTATAGACTGAGATTGCTTTAGAATAATTGAAGATAAAAAGGAATTGAGTATAGATGGCAGAGTATTGGCCATGAGTTGATAATTTTTGAAGCTGGGTAATAAATATATGGGGGTGCATTATATTATTCTCTGCATTTTTGTGTCTGTTGAAAATTTACATAATATAAAGTTAAGAGAAAAATAATCCTGATCACCAGGTTCAGGTATTGTTAGCCCGTCAATTTTTATAAAGTTCCCTGTCAGCCTTCACAAGTTGGTTTTAACAGCTCTTTTTTTTTTTTTTAAAGATTTTATTTTTATTTATTTGAGAGCATGCATGCGTGAGCTGGGGGCAGGGGTCAGCAGAACAGGGAGAGATAGAATCCCAAGCAGACTCTCCACTGAGCACAGAGCCCAATGTCAGGCTCTGTCTCAGGACCCTGAGATCATGACCTGAACTGAAATCAAGAGTCGGACGCTTAACTGACTGAGCCACCCAGGCGCCCCGGTTTTAGCAGCTCTTAATGATCATTGCCTAGCTTTATCAAGGGTTGCAAAATGGTAATTTCCTAATTCTTCCTTTCCTCCTCCATTTATGTATTGGAATTCTAAAAAGAATTTTCCCATATCAACTATTTGGTTCCTTTGAAATACAGCCAGTACAGAAAAGGTAGGATAAATGCTTCATTCTTTTCTTTATTTACCAGCTTTCGGAATGGGGCGGTTGCCCTTGTAACCTTTAAAGGTTTTTAATTTGTATTTTTTGTAAATTTAACTGTTTAAATGTATTTTGATGACTCTGTTGGAGTCATTTTTCTTCTTGATGCTCATATTGTCCCATCCTTGTCCAGTAGGAGCCACTTCAAGTTGATTTTTGTTGTTCTTATTTTTAGATTTTTATTGAAAATTTCACATGGCAAAAGTAAAATAGCACAGTGCTATCTTGTGTAGCCATCACCAATTTCAGCAGTTAGCAACTCGTGGCCAAACTTGTTTTATGTGCACTCCATCCACTTCCTCCTCTCTCCCCACCCCTGGGTTATTTCAAAATACAGTCAACCCTTGAACAACATGGGTTTGAACTGTGCGGGTCCACTTATACATAGATTTCCTTCAGTAAATATAGTACAGTACTTGTAAATGGATTTTCTTAACATTTTCTTTTCTCTAGCTTACTTTACAATATGTGTTAATCACTGTTTATGTTACTGGTAATGCTTCCAGTCAACAGTAGGCTATTAGTAATTAAGTTTTAGGGGAGTCACAAGTTAATATATAAGTGGATTTTTGGCTGTGTGGGGGGCTGATGCCCCAACCCCCTTGTTCAAGGGTCAGCTGCAAATTCTGGACATCATGCCATTTTATTTGTAAATATTTCAGAATGTATCTCTAAAAGAGATAATTCTTAAAAATATCTAGAATCGTTATCATACCAAAAACCCAATAATTTCTTAATTTTGAAGCTATATATTATAAAATAATTCCTTAGTATTATAATCAGTATTCACATTTCCCTGATTGTCATGCGCACACACACAGTGTACACACACACCACCTCTTCTTTATCCATTCATCTGTTGATGGATGTCTGGGCTCTTTCCATAGTTTTTCCAGCTATTGTGGACATTGCTGCTATAAACATTGGGGTGCAGGTGCCCCTTTGGATCATTGCATTTGTATCTTCAGGGTAAATACTGAGTAGTGCAATTGCTGGGTCGTAGGGTAGCTCTATTTTCAACTTTTTGAGGTACCTCCATACTGTTTTCCAGAGTGGCTGCACCAACTTGCATTCCCACAGTGTAGGAGGGTTCCCCTTTCTCCACATCCTCGCCAACATCTGTCGTTTCCTGACTTGCTAATTTTAGCCATTCTGACTGGTGTGAGGTGGTTGGTTGATATGACTCTTAAGTCTCATTTAATCTATGGTAGTCCCCCCTTGTCTCTGCCTTCGCTTTCCATGGTTTCAGTTACCCATGGTCAACCACAGTCTGGAAGCAGATGGTCCTCCTTCGGACCTATCTTCAGAAGGTCAGTAGTAGCCTACCTGGTGCTGTGTCACAGTGCCTGTGTCATTCACCTTACTTCATCTCATCGTGGAGGCTTTTTTTTTTTTTTTTTTTAAGATTTTATGTATTTATTTGACAGAGAGAGACGCAGCTAGAGAGGGAGCACAAGCAGGGGGAGTGGGAGAGCGAGAAGCAGGCTCTCCGCGGAGCAGGGAGCCCGATGCGGGACTCGATCCCAGGACCCTGGGATCATGACCTGAGCCGAAGGCAGACGCTTAACAACTGAGCCACCCAGGAGCCCCTATGTAGGCATTTTTTATTACCTCACATCATCCCAAGAAGAAGGATGGGTACAATACAATAAGATAGTTTGAGAGCGAGGCCATTCATGTAACTTGTAATACAATATATTGTTATAATTGTTCTATCGTATTATTGCTGTTAATCTTTTACGGTAACTACTTTGTAAATTAAGCTTTATTGTAGATATGTATGTATAGGAAAAAACACAGTATGTAGGGTTTGGCACTGTCTATGGTTTTAGACATCCACTGGGGGTCTTAGAATGTACCCCCGTGGATAAGCGGGACTACTATATAAGATGCCCCTCCCTCAGTTTTTATTTTTCTTTGCAGAATTTTTTGTTTTTGAAGAAATTGGCTCATTTCTCCTGAAGGATTTTCTACATTCTGTACTTTGTTGATTGTATCCTATGATTTTTTTTAAAGATTATATATTTAAGAGAGAGTGTGCATGCTCTTGAGCAGGGGGAGGGACAGATGGGGAGGGAAAGGGACAGGCAGACTCGGTGCTGAGTGCAGAACCTGATGTGGGGCTCGACCCCATGACCCTGAGACTGTGACCTGAGCTGAAACCAAGAGTCAGATGCTCAACCAACTGAGCCACCCAGGAGCCCCTGTATCCTATGATTTGTCTTGATGTTCCCCCAGAACAAAGCACAAAAATAGTTCTGGTGTCCCTTGTAGTTCCTATAAGTGGATAGTTAGATCAGTGCTGTTAAATAGAGATATAATATGACCTACATGTCATATTTTAAAAAGTAAAATTAATTTTGATGCTGTATTTTTGCTTAACCCAGTATATCCAAAAATTATTTCAGTGTGTAAACACATAAAAATTATTGATGGGATATTTGACCGTCTCTTTGTACTAAGTCTTGAAAATGCAGTATCTGTTTATGCTTCTGGCACATCTCAATTTGGATGCTATATTTTCCTCAGATATATTTGATCTGTATTTAGCTATCTTAAACTTTACAATAGAAAAAAAGAACCACATACCCATTTTTGTTCCAGATACACTTAAAAGTTTTCTAGTAACTAAGTTGAGTATCAGTTTTTAAATGAGTCAACAGTCATTAAAATCAGTAGTCACATGTGGGCTTATGGCTACTGTATTGGACAGCTCAGATCTAGAGGTTTGATTAGATTGAAGTTTGGGGGTTTGTTTTGGTCAAGAATACTTCATAAGTGACATTGTTAACGTCTATCAGGAGGTTGGTAGTGTCTGGTTGTGGTTCTTTTTGTGTGATTTGCAGCTGTGGTGGTTATTGCCTAGATTGATTAATTTGTCTGTGGTTGCAAAATGGTGATCTTCTTACCCTATCATTTCTTTATTAACTGGAATACTGTAAAGAGAGATTTCCTCTTATCAGTCATTTGGTTACCCTGAGGTGCAGTTTATGTAGGAAAGGTGGATATATATGCACTTGATTCTTTTTTTTACTAGTTTATAAAATAATGAGCCAGTTTTCTGACATTCTCAAGATTTGTTCACTGAGTTGTTTTCGTATCATTTTGAACTTACGGATTTAAACACATGAGATATGTTGCACTCTGTTGCGGTGGTTATTCTTGTTGATCAAGCTGTTGCATCTTTGGCCAGTGGGAACCCATTCAGGTTGGCTTCTGAATCATTTTGATACAACTCTACAGTCTTTTATGTCTTCCCTGCTTGGTATGTCCAGTCTCATCCTTTACATTTCCCCAAATCTGGCATTAGCCATTTCTCCCTGAGGAGCACTGACTTCTTGTAGTGGGAAATGCTGTTTAACAACTACCATCTGAACACTGGAGTGCTCGTGACTGCTGGGTTGCTCAGTGCTTCTAGAATATTTCAGTATACTGGGCTACAAGATGCATTTTTTATTTTGAAGGAAAAATGTATCGTGAGTTCATATTGATAGTTCAGTTGAAATTGTAATTTTCCCAGTTTAACGTCATTGATTTTATGTTTGAGTCTCCCCCATTATTCTTGCTGAAAATCTTGGTTCCTAGCAACACTAACATAATAACATATTTACGTTATCCTATTCTGTATATAATAGTTTGAAAATCACAATGAGGTATTATTAGTAACAACTTGATTATTGAAGATTTCCTTGAGGTCCTTTTTGCCGTTAAGCTAATAGCTTATTGGGCATGTACGGCCATGTTCCTATATTTTAAAGTAATTTGAAAGAATTCTCTGAATGTTGGGCACCTGGGTGGCTCAGTCGTTAAGCGTCTGCCTTCGGCTCAGGTCATGATCCCAGGGTCCTGGGATTGAGCCCCACATTGGGCTCCCTGCTCAGCGAGACGCTTGCTTCTCCCTCTCCCACTCCCTCTGCTTGTGTTCCCTCTCTCGCTGTGTCTCTCTCTGTCAAATAAATAAATAAAATCTTTAAAAAAAAAATTCTCTAAATGTTTAACCAGCTTAATATATTGTCATGTTTCTTTATTTAGTTTTCCATTTTAAGGGGGTTGCTCATTTTTGCATTTTAAAGATTTATTTTTTCCAACTTTATTTTGAACATTTTCAAACCTACAGAAAAATTGGAAGTACAGTACAGTGAACACCATATACCTTTCACTGTAGAATATTTTTCTGCAATGATTATTTTTCCAGTTTTTTTCTCTCTCTCCCTCTCTCGATTCCCTCCCTCCACACTACACATTTTTTGTTTTTGCTGAACCATTTGAAGGAAGTTACAGACTTCAATTCTAAATACTTCAGCATGCTAAGAACAAGGGATTCTGTTCCATAACTGCAATTCCATATTACACCTAAGAAAATTAATAATAATTTCATATCTAATATCTCCCATATTCACATTTCCTTAGTTGTTCCAAAAGTGTTTTTTATAATTGTTTGTTTTAAACTGTGATCCAATCAAGGTTTATGTATTGCTTTTGGGTGTTCTATCTTTTTGGTTTCTTTTAATGTGGAGCAGTCCCCTCACCTTTTTTCATGACACTGATCTTTTGAAGAGTCTATGTGTTGTCTTGAATGGATATGTTTGTTTCCTATCATTATTGCTTAATTTGTTCCACCTACCCTTGTGTTTCCTATAAATTGGAAGTTTGATCTAGTCTGGAGGCTTGATGGATTTGGGTTAAGTAATTTTTTGGCCAGAACATTTCACTGGAGATGCTGTGTACTCTATATTGCATCATGCCAGGAATGTAATGTGAGGATGTGAGGATTCATGATGTTAAGTTTGATCCTCTGTTAAGGTATCAATTGCCAGATTTCTTACCTTTGTAAGTAGTAAGTAATCTTTAGGGGGATTCTTTGGTATCTTGTGACTATCTTGTTCCCAACAGTTTTTTGGCCCTGTGGTTTTCACATTTTGATTTAATTTTTTTTGGTAATTCTGTAAAATCTTCATATGGTTCTAAAACCAAAAGTATACTACAGGGTACATGAAGAGAAGTTTCACTTTCTTTCTTGTCCCCTTCGCCTCCGTTCCTCTGTGTGTAATCATTTTAATTAGTTTTTGGATTATTCTTTTTTGGTTGTATGTTAAAAATACGAATATATTTGTATGTAAATATACTCATATTCCTTCTCTTAGATAAAAAATTGGCATTCTATTGTGTACCTTGCATATTTCACTTAAAACCTATCCAAGAGACCGCTTCATAACAGTATATAGAAATTTGTAGAAGGGCTTTTCTAAAATATATATACATTTATGTATACATTTGTGTGTATTCATGTCCTTCCTGTGCTTGAAGTCATTCGGTGGTACCTCACCTCCCTTGGGATAAAGTCCAAACGTCTTATAAGACTTAAAAGGCCCTTTATCATTGGGCTTCTGCACGTCTCCAGCCTTGCCTCTTCCCCCCAGCGCGCACACACACACACAGTTGCTATTATTGCCATACTGAATTGCCCTTTTTTTTGGCTTTTGAAATTTATTAAAATTGATTACTTTTTTGTTTTGTTTTAAGATTTTATTTGTTTGACACAGAGAGACGCAGTGAGAGAGGGAACACAAGCAGGGGGAGCGGGAGAGGGAGAAGCAGGCTTCCCGTGGAGCAGGGAACCCGATGTGGGGCTTGATCCCAGGACCCTGGGATCATGACCTGAGCTGAAGGCAGACGCTTAACGACCGAGCCACCCAGTCGCCCCAAAATTGGTTACTTTTTTGAATTGCTTTGATTTCCTTGAATGAACCATGAGCAGATCCTTGATTTTGCATGTGATGCTCCTGTCTGCATAGACTGTTCCTTCTCCCTGTCCTCACTATTCATCCTGTGGGCCTGAGCTTAAACATATTCCTGGAGGCCTTCCCTAGCCCGAGTCTGAGTTAGGTGCCCTTCTTATGTGCTGACCCAACACCATCTGTTTATCATTGTTTTGGTGTTCACTGTACAGTGTTCTGACTGTTTACATTTATGCCTTCCTCTGTTAGTCCATGAGCTCTGTAAGCACAGGAACCATGGCTCACAGGATATGAGGGCCCCAGTGGCTGGCATTTGGAAAGCATTCAGTAAATATTTATTGACTAAAAGTGGCAGAAAGGCACAAGCCCAGACATGCATTGCAATATTCATAAGACCTAAAACCAAACTCAAATGGAATTTGCTCAGATGTGGTGATCTGAGAAGAAAACGTGAGTTGCCTTATTCATTGTGGAGCTGTAGGTGGAGTCCAGACCAGCCTGTGTGGGAGCCTCTAGGTCACCCTGGGATGGTGCTGGCTCATGGCCTGGGCTGAGAGCCAGAGAGGGGCACCACCAGCTGCTCCTCCTGAGAGACAAAGAGGTTGACAGGGCCTGGGGGAAGGGCTAGAGATGAGAAAGTGGCATCAGCCTGTAATTTCCAGGGATGGTGGGAATGGTTACTGTAGGTAGGACCTGGTAGAAGGAGCCGAGCTAGGGAAGAAGAACCTGCCTTTGGCATGGGAGCAAGTCCTCAGGCCCTGCTTGGTGGAGCATCTCTTGTGGGGGCCTGAGCTCAGGGACCTGGCCCTTCCTGATGTCATTGGGCCTGGGTTTTACAGGATGCCCAGGCTGAGGAGGAGATCAAACAGGAGATGAATACACTGCAGCAGAAGCTGAATGAGCAGCAAAGTGTACTCCAGCGTATTGCTGCGCCTAACATGAAAGCCATGGAGAAGCTGGAGAGTGTCCGAGACAAGTTCCAGGAGACCTCAGATGGTAAGATTTTTCCCTTTTAGTTTTACTGTCTAAGGGGAAGACAGGAGGCTGGAGTTATGGCAAGGGCCTGTTACACATCACAGCCTCTCCCATTTTTATGTGCTTTCTGGAAACTCCCAAGAGCCCTAAACAGTAGGGGTTAGTTATCACACCTGTTTTATGGAGTAGAAAAACCTCTGTGAGGTTCAGAGAGGGTGAATGGCCTACCCAAGGTCTCACAGCTGGTTGCTGGTTGAGCCCAGGGTACAATTCATGTTTGTGTAGTTCCAAGCCCACGTTTCTTCCTTTGTGCTTCGTGGCTGGCCCGATGGTTACAAGTGGTTGTGGGGCCATTTTCCTGGGGCCCTCCCCAGACATTCCTCTCCCTTTGGGATGTCCCTGCTCTGTGGATTGTCATTTACAGGTCATTCTTGCCAGGGCGTGGTCCTCTGCCTTGGCAGAGCCTGGGCACTGAGGGGTCACCTGTCTTTCCCTCATGGCAGAGTTTGAGGCAGCCCGAAAGCGAGCCAAGAAAGCCAAGCAGGCATTCGAACAGATCAAGAAGGAGCGCTTTGACCGCTTCAATGCTTGTTTTGAATCTGTGGCCACCAACATCGATGAGATCTACAAGGCCCTATCCCGCAACAGCAGTGCCCAGGTAGGCTGGAGTCCCTTACGCAGCTAGCCCCCACCATCACGTTGCCGTTCCCTTTAGGCTTCCTGTCCCTGTCCTCATCTAGACCCAAACCCAGGTTCTGACCCATCTGCCTTCTCCCTAGGCATTCCTGGGCCCCGAGAACCCTGAGGAGCCCTACCTGGATGGCATCAACTACAACTGTGTGGCTCCTGGCAAACGCTTCCGGCCTATGGACAACTTGTCAGGGGGGGAGAAAACAGTGGCGGCTCTGGCCTTGCTCTTTGCCATCCACAGGTAAGGCTGCTCCTCCCAGAGCAGTTGACGGAGAGACTGAACTGAGGCCACCAGAGGCTCTGGGGCCCAAGGACATGCAGAGATCTGCAGAGGTGAAGATGTTCTGGTGGAATCTGGATTGCGTCCCTGTTTCCCTACCTACTACAGCACATCTGGCCTTGGTTTCCTGGACCTGTCTTTCCCATCCACCCTCATCCACTCAGCATGCCCTCACTGGCCCCTGCATGTATTCAGTCCCACCACCAGGCTTTTGCTTACATGGTTGCTGGCTAATTAGCCCTTTCTGTGCAAGTCTAGCTTGACCATCACCACGCCTTCACATCTCATTTTCCTCCTCCTGTTCCTCTAGGAAGCCTGCTTTGACCAGCTGTGGCATACCCTGACCTCCCCCTCCTGAATGCCAGTAGTACTGGAATCTGACCCCCACAACTTAATACTTGATTGTACAGCGTCATTCAGCGAGCATTTCTTGAGGGCTGCTCTGTACCAGACTCTGTTGGGGGATTAGGGACACAGATGTGTCAGACATGGTCTCTGTCCTTGAGGAGCTCATGGTCTAGTGAAAGCCAGATGTGTAAACAGTGAGCTAAGTGTTGTAACCGGGTGAGTGTGTGTGCTGTGGATGCACAGAGGAGGGACACCAACCCAATGCGGGGGAGGGAGTGGGTGGCCAGGAAAGGCTTTCGAGGGCAGGTAACACTTGAGCAGGAAATGCAAAAGATGAGTAGAAGTTAGCCGAGACACCAGGAGGCGTTCTAGGCAGTGGGTGCCGCATGTGCCGTGAGGCAGGGAGCCACAGCAACATGGCGCAGGTGGGTGGGGTAGACCTCCAGGTAGCTTGGACAGTGTGGTCAGAGCCTAGGACAGCTTTATCTCCCCAGCCTGTCTGGAAGCTCTGGAGAGAACCATGTCTTCTCCTGGTTATGTAGGATCCTGGAGCACAAGGTTGGATGCACAGGAGGGTTCAGTTGGTAAACTGGCCTTCTGGGGCTCAGGCAACATTAAGACCTGGGTTTTTTAGTCTCTGAAGAAGTGGAGGGGGATGCTGGCCTGTGTGATGGGCCCTGGGGCTATCCTGCCCCACCCCTGCCCCCATCAGTGTCAGCTCACCTACTGGTTCCCTCCCAGCTACAAGCCAGCCCCCTTCTTCGTCCTGGATGAGATCGATGCTGCCCTGGATAACACCAACATTGGCAAGGTGGGTGCAAGGAAAGTGGGGCCCGGGAGGGAGGCCCCTAGGTTGGGGCTGGGTTTCAGGGAGCAACTCCTGAGTGTGCTCTAGCCGTTCCTGCTGCCTGCTCTCTGTGCCCGGGAGGCTGGGCCCAGGGTCATCCATCCACGCCGTGCTAGTCTGGCCTCTCAGCCTCTCTTCCCCCTACCCTCCACCCCTTACCCCATCCCTCTGCCTCTGGTTCTGACTGGAACACACAAGGGAGTGTTAGGGCTTCAGCCCTGCTAAGTGCCTGGCGGCCCCTCCCACAGGTGGCAAATTACATCAAGGAGCAGTCGACTTGCAACTTCCAGGCCATCGTCATCTCTCTCAAGGAGGAGTTCTACACCAAGGCTGAGAGCCTCATTGGAGTCTACCCCGAGGTAGGGCGGGCCTGGCTCAGGAGCCAGCCCCACTCTCCCTGCCTGACTCCCCAGGGCAGGAAGGGAAGGCTGCAGTGGAGGGCCACGGGGGCGGGGGAGCATAGGGACTCAGGTCCTGAACAGCCATCTGGGCTTGTTGGAGCCCTGCCCTAGAGGCTTAGCCTGCCCAGCTGGGCAGGGCTATTGTGTCTGGGGACAGGTGGAAAGGCCAGGCAGAAGAGCCAGACAGCAGAGAAAAGGAGGAGAATGCAGAGGTAGGCAGGGAGAGAAGGCACATGGGACCGAGCACATCCTCTCACACCCAGAGAGAATCATTGCCTGGGCTTTGGGCAGGTATGTAGGGAGGAGGGTTTGAGGCCCCCAGTCCTGGGGCGCTAGACCCCCCCCCTTAATTCTCTCCTTACAATTTCATTTTTCTTTTTCTCCCTCCTCCTTCAGCAAGGGGACTGTGTGATCAGCAAAGTCCTGACCTTCGACCTCACCAAGTACCCAGATGCCAACCCCAACCCCAATGAGCAGTAGCAGTAGTTCTGCCCTCCTGCCCTGTCTGGATCCCTAAGCTGCCCCTCTCCCAATCTCTGGATATTTGGCTCCCAACCTTCCCCTATCTCCCGTCCCTGTTTGGTATAGTTATGGGATTTAGGCACTGCTGTCAAGCATGAAGAGGAACAGAGGTGATGTTAGGTCTGGAGCAAAAATTCCTGAGCTTCAGGGAGCATCCTGGCCTTTGGAAGGAGGTGCTGAGCTGAACTGAGCTGAACAGGGCCATCTGTCCATTCCTTACCTTCCTCTCTCCTAGACCTCCCTCCCTCCCATCACCCATAATCATGGGTCCCTTGGGCCCCTTGCATCCTGCTTGTGTGTGGGTGTGTATGTGTGTATATATGTGTCCGCGTGTGTGCATATGGGCGTGCTTGCAAAATAATAAAGATATTGGAGACCCATTTTAGAAGGAGCCTAGGCTGAATTTGATTCCAAGAGAGCTTAGTATGACAGCACCCCAGAGCTGGGCAAAGGTATTCAGGACCTCATAGGAATCAGTCACGTGAAGTTGCCCTCATTCACTCATTTGTGTTCTCATTCATTTGTGTATTCGTCAGACATATATTGAGCACCTTCTGTTTGTCAGGCTCTATTCTAGAAATACAGAGCTAGATCAGATATGATCTCTACCTTCCTACCGAGGAGATGCAGTGGGTTCATGGTTTCCCATGGTCAGCTGAATCATATTTATAGGTACTTTGAATTTGAGAAGAAGATGATCACCTCCAGGCTTCCTGGAGAAGGTCACATTTGAGCTGAACCTTGACAAATTGGTAGGATTTGGTTGGGCACTAGGAGCAGAGCCTGGGCTCTGGGGACAGACATTTGTGGGTTCTAGTCCTTTTTTTAAAATCACTTACTAGTTTGATGTTGGGCAAGTCATTTGACCTTTCTGTGCCTCAGTTTCCTCATCTGTAAAATGGGGCTAACAATATTACCTACCTCATAGGATTTAATGATGTCAAGCTCCTCACTGGGGGCCTTATCCCTGCTTGGAGCCCACTAGGTGCCGACCCCTCAGAATATAAGCCTTCTCATACCTAGACCCCTGAGGGCGCTGATCCCAGTTGTTGGGGAAAGAAGGAACCTCCAAATCTGGGAGATGCTAAATGCCTTGGTTACTGAGAAAGTTCCAGGGCACCAATGGGGTTTACCCGGTAAGGGAAGGGCCTAAGGAAGCCTATAGCTTCAATCGTGTATGGTAACCAGGTGCCTGGGCCCCAACCCAGGACATGAGGAAGTTGGGGAGAGGTAGCCTGGGCCACATCCCAGCCGAATGTGTGTGAAGTTCCCTCTGGGAACTAACCCGTGTCAGCTGCAGGGACCGTGCAGAGGCAGCAGAGTCTGCTGCCATGAGGTCAGCCTTTGCTCATTCACGTACACTGTCAGACCATCACCTTGTCCTGATTGTATACTGCATTCTTGTTTCTTCAAAGTTAAATCTGTTCTAATTACTCAAGTGACGCATGAATCTGTTCTCTGAGACGTTAGATTTATAAGTAGAGCTAGCCTTGTTTGACTACCATTGCCCGTCCCCCTCTAAACTGCTGTTACGTTTGTTGTACATCCATCTAGACTGTTTTAAGACTTTGACATATATGAGCTCATTGAAAATATTATTGTGTATTTAATACAAATGGTATGTTGAGTCATTCTGCAATTTGCTTTCTTCGTTTAACAGTGTTTTTGAGATCTGTGCATGTTGTTTTTGCTAAATGTAGATTCAATTCATCCTTGTAATTGCCGTATGGAGTGCCATCATATGACTCGTATCACATCGTACCCGTTTCTTTTGTGATAGCTAGTTACGACTGTTTTCTCTTTTTGCTATTACAAAATACGACACAGGAACATTTGTGTGTGTGTATGTGTGCGCGCGCGCACGTGTGTGTGCGCGCGCGTGTGTATATGAGTTTATCTAGGGTTGCTTCCTAGAAGTTGAATTGCAGTCATAGACTATTTATATTTTTGTTTTAAATAGATACTTCCAAATTGCCCTCCTGTACTATTTACTCGATATTTTTCTTGAGGTTGTCTTAGGTGTAACATTGTTATCTACTTCAGTTTCATCCTAAGTAGTGATATCCGTGAAACCACGGGTTTGATGTGCTAATTATGTATTTTTCTAATACATATTAAAAGGCATAACTCAAAATAAATTTGTCTGTGTTCAACCAAAGAAGTCACATACCACCAGTGGTACATGTGCTGAAGTTTGGGAAATGCTGGCATATCTGAAAGCACAATTTGGGAGTCGCCCTGGTTCAAATCCTAGCTGTAGAAACTTGAGCTCATTACTTCACCTCCCTGAATCTCAGTTTCCTCACGTAGAAAAGGACTTAATACGTGCCGTACTTTGCAGCAATGTAGGGAAGATGAAGTGTGCTGGAAGCAGTTTGGCTGGCACCTAGATCATCACAGGCCTTTCAGGGTAGCAATTGCTATTCTCCCCACTTTACAGATGAGGAAACTGAGGTCCAGGAAGGTTAAGTGACCCAGCTACCAGGTAACAGTAAGGATTTGAACCCAGGCCCCCCCCCGATTCAGTCTTGTGCTTTCTCCACTACAAGGGTGGTTATCAACCTTGGCTGTGCACCAGAATCACTTGTGAAGATTTTTCTTTTTCCTATTTAAAAATCAAAGCAATATATACACTGGTTAGGAAGTAAAATAGTACAGAAGGGCTTATAATGCAAAGCAGCTGTTCCCTGCTGCACCCCCACATCCAAAGGGTGTGGAGCTCCTTGCTCTGGTCCCGCCCCTGGAAATCTAATTCAGTAGGTGTGGATATTAATCTGGATAACTAATTCTTACCTCACAGGGTGGAAAGGATTAGATGAGATGCCTTGGACTAAAGCCCTGGCCCACAGGGACGCAAGTGCTGCAGAGGACTTAGGTCCTGGGGCTCAGAGAGATGAGAGGCTTTGTCCTAGATCCCAGTGGTTCATTGGCAGAACCTAAACTTCAACCAGGAGGGATCTCTGTGCTTGCCCAGTGCTTTCCCACTGTGCCACACTGCCTTCTGTCAGCACAAAGGAACCACGTGCTCAGTGAAGGCTGTGCTCAGGTGAGAGCTGACGCCATAGTGTGTTTCCAGGAGCAAGCTGGATCCAAATAGAATCCCTAGGGCTTGTTGGAGGACACTGGGTTGACTCCCTTATACCCTGGACCCAGGAGCCTTGGTCTAGGGAGTTGAAGAGTGCTCCATGACCATGTTTACCTTTAACTGGGCACTTCATTCTGGGAATCACTGTTGCCCACCAGGGACACAAACATGAGTCAAATCTTTACCCTGCCTTTGAGGAGCTCACTAGTTAGGGGAGGCAATTCATAGAACAGCCGTTAACCATGCAGTCTGATGCCCTCTGACAGGAACATGGAAGAGGAAGGGCCTGTAGCTTATGTAGAGGTTCAGGGAAGGCATCCTCTAGTCTAGGAGGTGACACCTGAGCTGAGTCTTGAGAGACTGGTAGGAATTACCCAGTTGAAGTGGAAGGAATTTCCAGGTAGTGGGGACAGTATGCACAAAGACCTGAAGGCAAGAAACAGCAAAACATTTCAGAAGTACCAAAACAAGGTTTGACAGTTCAGATTTATCTCATGAGAATTGTGGTTCCCAAACAGGCTGTGCACCAGAACCACGTGTAGCATCCCAGGCCCCAGCCTCTAAAAATTTGGTTTTTGTAACTGGGGTGAGGCCTCAGGATCTTGAGTGCTTAGAAAAATGAGCACATGACTGTAGGGTACAGCCAGGTTTGGGAACTGTGGGAGCCATGGGATGGTTTTAAGCAGGGGAGACGCTGGGTCAGATGCAAATTTAATAAACCTCTTTCTGGTCAGGCACTGGAAATGGATTAGGTTAAATGTGCATACTGTATGCTCCCATGCCTGTAGTTTCCCTGTTGGCTCAATTTCTCACACTGTGTGTTTGCTTGTTTTGTCTCTGAATAAGCTGAAAGCACCACAGGGATGGGCCTGGGGTTATCTTGCTACTGGCATATCCCCAGCAAAAAGCACAGTGCCTGACCCCAAACAGGCACCCAATAAATAGTTTTTGAGTGAATGAATGCGTGAATGAATGCATTTGTGACGGAGAATGGAGACAGGGAGATCAGCTAGGAAGCTGTTGAAAAGCCCAGGAGGCCTACCCAAGGGCAAGGGCAGTGGAATGGATTGGAGGCAATAAAAGTGTGAGCCAGACTTGGTGACTGAGGATTACTGGATGTGGAGGGTGACTGAGAGGATAGAATGAGTGCCCATTAGTAGCCCAGGTTCCTACCCTATCCCAGTCATTCTCTTTCTTCATCCAAGTCAGAATCTCCTTCCAGCCTCAGCCACTGGAATTCCTCCCTCAACTTAGTTAAACGTTCTGTGTGCTGTGTGGTCCCCACCCTCCCCTCCCTTCCTCCCAGCCATTGATTCATTCTTCCAGTTCAATAAATCTTGGCTAAGCACCTCCTGTATGCAGTGAGGCTCTTCCAAGCCAGGACTCTGACTCCCTCTTTCCTACCTCAAGAGATATTTTTGAGGGCTTCCCCAGGTAAGACTCCCATCCCTTAGACAGTAACCTAAAGTGAGATGCCCAGATGTCAGACCTGTAAGGGAACTTACAGACTTTGTCCAACCCCCTCCTGAGGCCCTGGGAGGGGAAGGAACTTGCCCAAGGTCCCATTACTAGAAAGTGTCAGAGCCAGAACTGGAACCTGAGTTCCCTTTCCCCATCACCACTAGAGCCTTGATCTCTCCCATCACAGATCAGGACAGGCAGAAGTGGCCAGGGAGAAGGTGGGACTAAGGTTGGCCTTGAAGGTCAGTGTACTGGACAGGCCAAACAAGAAGCTTGCCAATTACACTGCCCCCTTCTGGAAACCCTCAGCAAACCTGCCATGCCCACAGACCCTTCTAAGGGGTTTCTTAAGCACGAGTTGCCATGCTCTGTACCATGTGACCTCACAATCCTGGCCACAAATGGTTTGGGATTGTATGTGACTCAAGGACAGCCAATCTCTAGGCTATAGCCTATTAGGTGGACGGATATAGGAAATCCACCTCATAGGGATGGCCTGTATCAAATGGCCTCCAGGGAGGCTAAATGTGAGGCATTCGGAAGTGAACAATTAATTAGCATTTAGCAAGACAGAAGTAGTGGTGGATGAGGGGTGCCAGAAGCTGAACAGCAAAAGCAAGGAGAAAGCTGCAGGGACCATGAAACATTTATATCATAAGAACACGGGGCCACAAGGTAGCAGAAGCCATGAAGCAGCAAGACAACAATGGGCCAAAAGGACACAGAAGCCATGAAGCAATAGGAGCCACAATGTAGCAGGAGCCACAAGGAACAGAAACCATGGGACAAAAACCCTGAATGTGAGATCCACGAAGCAGCAGAAGGCTTGAACAGACAAGATCCACGAGGCAGCAGAAGCAATGAGACTCTCAGAGCCACAAGGTAGCAAGGCAACAGGAATCGAAGAGGCTGCAGGAATGACAAAGCAAACAGAAGCTGCAACACAAGAGAAGCCCTGGATGAACTAGAACCGAAGACCCAGAAGCCAGGAAGCTGCAGGAGCCAGGAGGCCAAGAAGCCATGAGGCCCCCGAAGGCCAAGTGCTAGCGAGGAGGGTAGCAGGAAAAAAGAAAGAAAGGTAGTCTGAGTAGCAGTAGGAGGAGTATAAATACAGCCAGAAAGAAGTTGAGTCACCATTTTGGGAAGCACTAGAGAAGGGAGCAACAGATGCCTGCAGCTGAGGGGGTGACAAGATAAGCCAGGCTCTAGAGCTGCTTTGGATCATGAACCATTTTTGAGTTTCTGTTCCTCCATGAGGCTGCCTGTGTAGCTGTTTTTGTCTTCCTTATTTCCCTATGAATGCTTCAATAAATCTCCATCACTAACCTGAGTGTGTCTGTTCTTGTAATCTAAAAGAAGTTAACACTGTGGTGTGCACTATAGATGGGTGGAAAGCAGGGCAGAAGGTCTTCCAGGTGGGTCTGAAACAAGACACAGGTGGGAATTCACTCATTCTTTCTCTCACATCCTCACTGGCACAGCACTTCTCATTCATTTACGTACTGGCTTCTTTTTCTCATTCATTCATCCACTCATCGTTCATTTGTTCACCTATTCGTGGAGGACTCACTCATTTTCACATATTAACTCCTGCACTCAGGCATTGATATAAACATTCACTCATTAGTTGGCTCATTTGTTCTTTCTCGGATCCACTCAGTCATCATTTTTGCACCCGTTTGGTCCACAAGCATACATTGAGTTCCTGCATCATGTCAGGCCCTGTGCTAGGTTCTGGGGATGAGATATACTCCCCGAATTCTAGGAATTCACAGTTTAATTGGGGACACAGATAAGTAAGCAGATAAGTGCACCAAAGGCGAGAGATTATACAGCAGAAGTCTAGATGAGGCAGGGTGAGACTACAGGACCATTCCTCTGTGGGGTGGGGAAGGATGGAGTACTCAGGTAAGCCTTTATAGGGAAGGGGCGCTTGAACTGAATCTTGAAGGAAGAGTTGATGTTTACCATGTAGAAAGGGGCTATAGAACGTTCCAAGCAGAGGAGCTGCCTAAGCAAAGTTCTGTGAAGAGTGTGGAAGTGCATGGATTTTGGGGGAAATGGGCATTGTCCCATGTGGTGGAAGAAGTGGCAGAAGCCAGGCAGTTGAGCTTAGCTCTGACCCTGTGGGCAATGGGAAGCTGTAGAAGGGTTTGAAGCAGGGAAGTGACGGAGTCAGATTGGTATTTTAGGAAGATCACTGGTAGCCGGTGTGAAAGATGGTTGCAGGCATGAGATACTGACCCAAGTAATATATTTGGAGAGAGAACATGTGTCATAATTTGAGCCACAAATGAAGACTTGAGAATCCCTGAGGAGAGAGGAAAAAGTTCTACCAGGGGACCAAGGAAGACTTTTTGGAGGAGGAATTTGAGCTGAGCCTTGAAAAATAAATAGGGAGGATCCCAACTGATAGAGAGGAGGAGTAAGGGCTTTCCAGGCCTGGGAGATGAAAACAAGCCAGGAGGTGGGGGTAAATAAGGCGACTGCAGGCTAACAAAGCTTGCAGTTTGACTGCAGAAGAGCTGCATGGAAGGGAGAGGCAGGAAGGGAGACTGCAAGTTTCCCGAAGTTTTTTCTATTCTGCTGCCATTAGGTCTGCAGGAACAAGGGAATTTGGAGGGAGGAAGTGGTGGGCAGGAGTGTCCTTTTTCTGTGTTCTTAAAAATTAAATACATGTTCATTTTATTTTATTTTTTTTTCCATTTTTTTTCATTTTAAAATAGAAGTAATATAGGCACATTATTTAGAAGACAAATCAATAAACTTAAATCAGTTACAAAAGGACATGAAAAATGAGTTCTACAGCCCCACTCCCACCCTACCACTTTTCGTTATTAGCAACCACTTTTAGTTATTTCTTCTGCTTGTGACCTCCATATCTAAATATTGTGTTATGTGAGCATGTGTCTTTTATCAATTTCAGACATTAATCCATTGGTGTCCTGCTATGACAAATGATTTAGATCACACCAAGTTCAACTCTTGTCTTCCCCACTTCTCATATGATTTAGTTTTTGTACTATTCTGAATTTAAATAACACCTTTATTTCACTTTCCATGACTTAGAGGCAATATTTCTTGACCAGAACTTTGTTAGATGAGAATGTCTTTTCTTTTTTGCCCCCTTCTCCACTGTCAACCTCCCCAACTTCTGTCATCTGGTCTTATATATTGTCAAAGTTGATAACATTGAATTCTGTAATCACGAGTAAGGTTTTTTCAGTATGCGTGTTGTCTGTAGTTTGATAGTTTGATTTGAAAAGCAGTAAGCAATTATATTAATATGACTGTAAATATTGTTTACTGAAGAAGCCATTTAATGTACTTTTTATAATTTTTCCTTGTAGTTTTTCATTTTTTCCCTCGTTTCTAATTCTCTTTTTATCTTTCACTGTTTTACTTTATAATATGTTCCAGTTTTTTTCTTCTTAAAAATCTCTATTACATTAAATATTCCATCAAGCCTACTTTTTTTTCCCTCCAGGATACCTTCTTCCTGGAACCCTCTTATACTCTTTCTCAAATCTGAACTAGTTGCTCTCTAGGCCTGATGGATGGGCTGTCATTTCAGGACCTTCCTTCACTGCTTTCCTTGCTTAGATCCACTATTTGCTGGTTCCCAGGGTTTTTGTTTTGTTTGTTTATTTTTTTTCATTGTTTTGATGGAGCACATCCTCAAGTAACTTTCTCAGAAAAGTTCGTAGGAGTTAGACTTCCTGAGTCTTTGCATGTCTGAAAATAAATTTATTCCATCCTTATACTTGGCTATAAAGTTTGAGGTTCAACATCATTTCCTCACAGAACTTTGAAGGCATTGCTCCACTTCTAGCATCAAATTTTGATGAGAAACAGTCTGATAACAGTCTGAGTCTCATGGCTTTATAGGTAACTTTCCCCACATCTTTCCCCCCCCCCTCCTTCCAGGATCTCAATGACACAAATATTAGATCTTTTGTTATAGTTTCACAGGTCCCTAATGTTCTGTTCACTATTTTTTCCGGTCTATTTTCTCTTTGTTTTTCAGATTGGGTAATTTCTATTGTTCTATCTGCAAGTTCACTGATTCTTTACTCTGTTCTCTCCATTTTGATGTTAGCCCAATCCATTGAGGTTTTTCTTTTGGTTATTGTATTTTTCACTTCTAAAATTTCCATTTGATTCTTCTTTTTATCTTCTGTTTCTTTGCTGACAGTTTCTATTTTTTAATTTGCTTTAAGCATGTTGTTAATTGTACATTGAGGCATTTTTGTGATGGCTCTTAAAAACCCTTGTCAGATAATTTTTAACATATCAGTGTTGGAGTCTATTGAGTGTCTTTTCTTACTTCAAGTTGAGATGTTCTTGGTTCTTGGTTCTTGGTATGATCAGTAATTTTCTGTTGAAACCTGGGCATTCTGTTTCAGCTTGCTTTCTCAGACACTGTTCCAGCAGTGAAAGAGGGGACACTGCCTCATTACTGCCCACTCAGTCTCTGTTGACAATCCAGAAGGAGGGTTTCCTCATTATTCTTCGGTGGGGAGATGGGAGTTGCTGCTCCCTACTCAACCTTCTCTGATACTACCCCAGCAGGAAGGGAGAGGGGTGACTTTTTAGAGCCAGCGAGGGTAGAAGTCTAAGCTCCCCGCCTGGCATTTGCTCGTGGGACCACAGTGATTTCTGTGGTGTTGGGCAGGAGTGGAGTTATCTAATTGCCACTTTCTCTAGCACCAAGTCTGGGGTGTGCAAGTCAAAAAGCAAACCGAGGGAACTCACCACCATGTCACTTCTCTGCGCCAAGGTCTCTAGCATGTTTGCCTTCTCTTCACTTCTCAGAGTCTTCTTAGGTTTATATACAATGCCCCAGGATTTTAGCTGTAGTTGGGGAGAGAAATAGGGAAAAGTACTTCACCCACCCACCTGCCCCCACTTCAAATAGTTATTTTTTAAAAAAATTATATTCTTGGTGTTCTGAAATTTTATAATTATGTGTTTAGGTTTGGGGATTTGTCATTCATTGTGTTGGTCCCTGGTTAGGTTCCTTCATTCTGAAGTTCTTTAACTCTGGGGAATTCTCTTATTTGTTTAATACATTCCTCCCTTCCGATTTCTTTGTTCTCTCTGGGAACTCCTTCTGAATTGATCTTTTGTAGTTTTTATCTGTTCTCTCCCTCAATCTCGTTTTCCCTCCCTCCCTTCCTAGTTCTCTCCCGCTCTTCCTTTTGGGAGAAGACTTTTATTTTTCAACTCTTCTATCTCCATTTCTTTTCATTTTGACAATCACATTTTAAAATTTCCAAATATCCATTCATATTCCTTTTCCTTTCTTACAGCATCCTGTTCTTGTTTAATGGATGCACTGGTATCTTGACTCTCTGGGTACAATAGAGGTATTTTTTATATATTTTTTCTTTTTTAAAAAAATATGTTTCCTTTGAGGTTCGTTTTACCCTGTTTGCTTATTTTGGTCTCTCTTAATTTGCGATCATTTCTCAAATGCCTGGTAATCCATGGTCGTATAGTCATATTTAGGAATGTAGCAACAAATACCTGATTGGAAGCTCTGTGTATAGGGGACAGTGCTAGGTGACTGGTGGCTTCCCTTTAGGATGATTGGAGGAGAACTGACTGCTATGCTGCAGAGTCCCCAAATGCCAGAATGCAAAGATCTTTTCTCTGAAGTTGTTCAGTTTCCTTAGTTAAGAACCCTCCGGGTTTTGCCTAATGGGTAGACACTTGGCTGCTGTGAACTGTACACAAGGGGTGGGTTAATGGTTCGATATACAGCCTTCCAATTAATCTCCCTGTTTTCAGCCCAACATCTCACTCCCACTTTATATCATACCTGGCATTGTTAAGACCCAAGACACACCAGGCTTCTGCAGAGAAAGATCAACTCCTTCCTCGGTGGCATCATCTCCATGCATACTCCAGGCTATGGCTTCCTCCACCATGCTCCATCAGTTACCATTCCTCCATTACTTTCTATCTTCCAAAAATGTGTTGAAATCTCTCTTTTGCTGATGGACCTGCTCTCATTCTCTTCATCATTGTGTTTTTATACCTTTTTTTAAATTCCTTTACTATCATTTTAACAAGGTCTCAGGTGGGAGTGGAGATAAATACATGGTAAGTCTGCCATCTTGACCTGGAAATCTACTGGTCGATAACGGTTTGTTTTTAATTTTTCTGGTAATTATCTTAATATCTCTAAATAATATGCAGATTTTTCTGTTTATCAACTTATTTATCACTTTTAGACATTGTCTGTTGACTTCCTGCTATTTAAATCACCCAATGACCCTCCTCCTGTGCACCCAATATAGCTCTATTATTAATTATATATTCTCT